CACTATGTAACTTCTTCTGCAAGAAGTTGCAAACATATTAGTGAAGAAAGGAACTGAGCCAGAAATAGAAATGAGAGAGGGTGCATTAGACCATTTCATATGAGGCTCGTTGTATGCTCTTATCTTCTGAATTTTCGTTAAAAATTTGAGTAGCGCAATCAAATATGCTGCATACATCGTAAACCGGGCCCTACAAGTTTTATTGCCACCTATAAAGATGCTGACAAATCAGACCCCATCACTCGGCAATTGTCTTATTTGGTCGCCATGTACGGTGGGTGTACAGGAAACTGGAAAGAAAAGTTTTGCCCCACAAGGACACAAATAAACTACTATTGTCATTGGTGTAAAACTATCAAATATTTTATTCACATGCCGAAGCATAAAGTGGTCGATGTCTCTAAGCATGTAAGAAATTATAGATGCAATGAACAAGACAACAGGCAAGTTCAAATGCTGTATTTTCGGAATAAGCCAGATCTGGAAAATAATGAATCCGCGAGAGATCAAGTATAGAAAGAAAGATTTAGATTCTGAAAAATTGGAGGAGGCGACGATTCGTCAAGGATCAAATTGCAAGATGAAGAAAAGGACTCCGTGGACAAGAAAAAGAAGGTTGTGACAAGATCGGCGATAAAGACCAATAGATGAAGACATGTGCGTGGAACTGATCATTCGATAAACAAAACTGCATTGAAAACGCTACCACAACACCTGACCCGAGAAGCTTAGTGAAGCTTTGGGTAACGATTACAAGGAATAGTGGATCCAAACATTTGTAAAGAGAAGCATGATCTGGAGAGAAATGGATTTTGGAATATTGTCAGGCTTCAGAAAATGCTCTCGCAATAAACGCAAAGTAGTTTTCAAGACGAAGTGCGAAGCTAAAGGTGAAGTTGAGCGTTTGAAGGAGAGATTGGTCACACGTGGGAATGAACAAATCTTCGAGGTGTATTTTAAAGTTACATTTGCAGCTGTTATTGACATGGCCAGTGTTTAACTGATTGTTTCTGTGGCAAGAAAATGGAGGTTCCTGCGAAGCACGGTAATGTCACAGACGCCTATGTGAAATAAGATCAGCAAAAGACCACGCGATATATATTCGAGTCCTGCAGGGAATGCATTTTTGTAAAGACACGAAGAGAAGCTGGGTGTGACAAGAAACAATGACATTGTATTAGAGCTGAAGAAAGAATTGTATACGCTAAAGAAATTGGGAAGACTGGAATAAATCATTGTACCAAAAGATGGTAGAGTTTGTTGTTTGAAATTTTCACACACAGGTGTGTTTGTATTAGACGAAGACGTCATTATCTTTTGAATGTAGAGATTTACATCGATGATCTACTTTTAACGGAAATTGAACAAATTTCTGTAGACGTATTCTACCATAAATTTCTCGCAGTCGGTCAAGGGCCTAGTACATGCTATTAATATTCGGGACATGCAAATCCAATACGACAAAGAAAATGGCGTGCAGTTTGAATCAAGAATGCGTATTGTGAACATGCTCAAAGAAAACAGTCTCGAATGGGGCATAGTGTACGTGTACCCATAACTCAAGAATGGGATAAGATCAATGAAGCACTGTAGTTTCCCGAGATCCAACGGAAATGTTGTGGTGACTGTAAAGCCTTTATTCTTTCGTTGGAAGTATACTATAGATTTCGAGATGTACCAGGCCATAAATCGCATTTGTCGTGCACAAAGCGTCCAGACGGACCCACAGGCCTACAATGAGATATCACCATTGGCTAATCTAAAAGGTTTTCAATTACTTAAATGGCACATAAAGCTGTGTATTTCTATGCCTGGAGACAAAAATTGTTCCGATGTGTTGCATGTGGTTGAAAACAGTGATGCAGTTCGCTGCTAACAAGGGTGGCAGAAAGTTTTTGCTGGTAGTTATGTCACGATTGATGACATGCAAGTGATCTGATTATGTAACAAAAAATCAAAAGGTTTTACTTATACATGTCTTTCTAATTTGCTATTTGGTTGGCTTTTACCATTGATGAACCATGTACTTTATCTCAAATTAGCGTTTTTGTTGAAAAGAAAAGGATTTGAAACTTTGGTCTCCTGTTTTTAAAAATAGAGGTATTGGACAGACAATGCTACGTTCTAAATAACGAAAAGAACCTATTATATTTAACTTGTAACGTGCAGATACTCGAGCTTATTTTTCAGCAGCTACTACGATTATTGTGTACAAGGTGGAATTTACTTTTGAACATGGATGCTGAATACACTGCTGCATCCATAGTAGCTCGAAATTAATTGCATGATATCGAGCTTTTACAAAAGTTAAATGCAAGGTTTAAAGAGCAGATGCCATTGCGAGTGGATAACCAAGAATATCCAAAACACCTAGACGGTGAAAAGACATCTGACAAGAACCAATGTATTGATGTTCGCATCAAATTTGTCGGTGTTTTCACTAAGCGTGAGATTATAAAAAACCTTAACATCAAGAGGCTGTGAATGTTCATACGGACGTACTTACAAAGGCGTTGTATGCACAAAGATTGGATGAATTGCGCCAAGTGGTCAAATTGAAGTGAACCGATTGAAGTCAACGGTGGTATAGCAAGGATTAAGAGTATTGTCGTAACGGTGAAGTCAAGAGCGGCGTGAAAAGGTAAGTTTCACGATGAGGAACCAACCAAGTGGTACAAGTACTATTTTTCGTGATCATGTTTGCGCCAAACAACTGTCGGGAGGTTTGTTCTCTGATACCCCCTGCCATGGAGATCTGGAACACGCTCGATGACAATGCAACGAATAGCACTAAATTTTGCATCTGATTGTGTGCCTTCTAGTTGTTACGTCACGTTAGGCTTTCTACACATTACGACACTTAGCATTGAGTTTTCTAACCTAGAATGCCGGTATGGAGTGTGGGGAGTGATTATCATGAACCTTACTGTCCGCGCTATTGCATATTCAACTGGTCCACGATACGACACTATTCTGTTTGTGAATGCCGCTGCCGTATGACACAGTAGTTTGGCCCAGGAACCAAGTCAGCTATTTGACTTATACGTCCATCAGGAATTGATATTGACGATAACTACGACATGTAATTTTTGCATAAAAGCGTTTTGTTTTGTGATGTGTGTAGCCAAACAGAAGCATACTCGGCTATAAATTACAATTGGAGTGAGTCCCCCCCCTCGCAGAAAGGGCGTGCTCCACAGCGCCTTTCTATTACTAATTGTGCTAAGATTGCTTGACGTTTGTTTCGTTCAAGTGTCAATACATTGCTTTTGCTTACCATTCACAGTGGCTTCTGTAGATTAGAGGATGTTGGGCGTTACCGTAGCCTATTTTAGCTGGTTGCACGTAAAAAAGAAAGGTAAATTGTCGCATTAAAAATGAGGTTTTCTCGTTTGACCTATGGCTTAGGTATACATTACTGCGAGCCCGAAGAGTGAAGCTATGAGTGGCTGTGCGCAAGCTAAGTATCGAACTTTCAGCATCGTACTTATCTGCGTGTGTTTGTTTGTAAATCAGTAATTGGGTGTGCCTTGCATAACTGCAATCAAGCTTATCCCCTTCTCAAAGGTATGAGGAATACTTAAAGTCACTCGTTTGCTGGGTCTCTATTGTGACGCACGCTCGTGAACGGTTTAAAACCGATCAAAGGTGAATATTACCATGTAAGCAAACACTTGAAGCTCACAAACAAAGGCTGATCGCGTTGCATGAGTTTACTTCTGGGTCAATTTAGACATTTACAACATCATACTCTTTCTTCAGTGACTGCTGCGGTTGTATCGTGTTAGCGCAACTTGATTTAGTTTTATGAACTGGATTACTAATAATAATGGGCGAGCTCGAGAGCTTGCTACCCTATCTTATTATGAACACTCGTGTTACAGACTTTGTTCAGCTCGAGCGAGTATACGACCTTTTCCCAATACTGTCTTTAGCATCAAATTTGCGATTACTTTAATCCTGCGGCTGCCATGAAGTCAGTATAGCTGATGAGAGTTGAAGCCTAATTCAGGAGTCCGTCAGCATCCACCAGCGCGTACATGCGAACAAATTGCGGCGAAAAGAGGAGCATACAATGCCAGCTGAGCTTTTAGACATACTTGGCAAGGTCTTTCGATAAGTAGGACTGCTTACTGATTCTTGGTCATGCTTTCCATGTATGTAGTCGGGATGAGTTCGCGAATCCTGCCTTACAGAACCTTTACCAGGCTAATGTACTGTCGGTTACAACGACCCCATCGTATTCTCAACTTTGTGCTCGAGAAAGCGTGTCTATTGCTTACAAGAAGAGACAACACCCGTGAGCAGTTTTCTCGCAACAAATAACTGCAGCAGAGTAGATGTCTCCGCGCAAGGAATACGTCCACGCTGTCACCCGATTTACGCTTACTTCATGCTGACAAATCTTTCTTAAGTACACTGTCGACCCCTGCAAGATGCGATCGCATCCTCTCGATAGTCGGACCTTCTCGATCCTACGGCGCTTTACCGCAAAATGATACTTCTTTACAAGCTCCAAGTTGCCTGTCGAATGGTCGCGAGTTCTTGCATAACGAAGTATGGTTAGTCCAACAACAACACTTTCGCTCGTGTCTCTACAACTTGCTGATCGATGATTTCACCTGCCGTTCTGCATTCGACAAGGCTCTGCGGCACACCCGCAGCCAATCCTTTCCCCTCCATGTGGACGAGGTGGTTGTAGATGACCAACGGTCCAGGTCCACGCTCATAATCTTCACATAATCTACCGTACCAATCGACTTGACATTATAACAGTGCAGACCTGTACATGTCCGAGTCATTTTGCGATACTAATCGCGTAAAGTACAGGCCATGTTTAAACGTAGTTACATGCAACTTCAACGTCGTGTTCATTGGTCAAATCAATAAGTACCGTTTGTCACTCGTGGTTATTTATCTATAGACGTGCAAAAGGCGACACGCTGGATCAGCGTTGGACTCGTTTGACACTTGTCGACTTGTTCGTCCTCGCTCTAATCATGTACGAGGTGCTGGATCCGTGCTACTACTCGGTTCTCCAAGTGGACGTCAATGCGAGGTACAAGCTCTTACGATGCGAGTACTGACATTTCGTATCAAACATCTGTAGCCTCTTCAACTAACCTAAGTGACCCCAATGTACACAACAATTCGTAGCTCTTCGGTCATCGCCAGAGCCTATCGGTCCAAAGCTCTTCAATTCCACCCCGACAAGAACCCGACTGCACTGCCAGAGCAGTTCCAAGCTATCACTGAAGCTTACGAGGTGCTGTCGGACCCTGAGAAGCGGCAATTGTACGACTACTATGGACCTACTCTAAAGCCGAGACTGAGCGAAGCTTTCGCTCGATTGGCGCCGCTGCTGCTGCCCTTAGCAACAGGCTTTATTGGATCAAGTGTTTGCACTTATGACAGCTCGCTCAGTGCGCGAGCTGCGTGTGGCTACGAGGTTGGTCTGATGGGCGTCGCAGGTGTGTTCTATTGCTACCGTCGAGGCGCAAAAGACAGCGCGAAGCCACAGACAAAGCCCCAAAAAGAGATGTTATCTCTGTCTGACTACGTCACCATCACTTCCGTGGGGCTGCTGATAGGGAATGTTAGCGGCTGGGCAGCCTCGTCGATAGTGTTGCTGTGCAAGGCGATCGTGTTTGGAAGTTAGAAGGGGGTGAAGTGGAGGAAGCACATGGATGGAGGTAAAGAGGCTAGTACGCAACGAGGCTTACGTTCTTCTTCCATTGTTTTCGTCGTTTGGGACCACTATTCAGCGAACGTTGATGCGATGATCGCTGTGCAAGGTCAAAGCTGTGGCCTCGTGCCATTGCAGTTGGTGATGCATCACCTTAAGCACTGCGGATGTTCGCTTAAGAATTTCGTAGCTGCTCGGCAATACATTTTCATGCAAAACTAGAGAGAGGAGTGAGAGACGGATGCTCGTTCCATGCGTGATTGAAGAGTGAGCTGTGTTTGCTTCCCCAGGTAAATTGCATGATGTACAGCAACGCCTACGTGGATCCAGAGCGAGCGGGCTTGCACTCATTTCATCACAACTACTGCTGCTTGTGATTGTTGACAGCAGAGTTTGCCCCAACTTCCTCTGTCATAGCAGTACAAAGTGCAAAGGCTGTCATGTCTAGACGAGAAGTAGTAATGTGCAACGAAGTCTGAATGAAAGTGCATCGGTGAAGTACGCCCTAAGCCGTAGCTACACAGCGTTGAATCCCTCAGTTATGGCGTCGAATGCGACAAGATAGGCACGTACGATGTCTACGATCGTCCAAATGGCTATCAGCTCAATTGATCGGGTGATCTAATGAGATTCTTGATCATTGTGGTGCCTGTAGGCGGTTGAGTAGCACGTCAGCAGGTTGACAATGTAATCATGGAAGTGTGAAAACGATCAGTGACAAAACGCAGAGAAAGAGAGATAGAGATAGAGAGGGAGAGAGAGATAGAGAGCGCTGACACGTCCCACCGTTGAACACTGAAGAATGACTTCATTGTATCTAAGGGAGTAATCGGATACTGAGATTTGTCTTTTCCTTGATGTCTGTTCCACTACAAAGTATATGAACTTGTGTGAACGATCTCACACACGACATGGATCGTGGTAGCGCTCTTTTGAAGCTGAAGTGATGGTTATAGTCAGTGTCCAACCGAACATGCCAACTGCTTCACATAGTGCAAGCTGCACTTATTAAGTCACAGAATTGATACCAGTCTCGTGAACGACGTCTCGCTCTGGTTGACATCATGACGGCGTTGGCAAATCCTTACCAACCTTTGTAACGAGAACATGCCCGATAATTCGTGTCTCGGTTGGATCTTGCCAAGTCATTTAGAGTAAAGTTCTTGCAAAAGAGCTGGCCGATGCATGCTCAGTCACCATTTATGCCTTCCAGGCATACCTGTCAGTCTTCTCGTCATCCTCTGTACCGCCATTCACCGCGTGTAAGTATCGAGTAATGCAATGCGTAGTGCGATCGCATCACGCACGGTGCTTTGCATCACCACAAGATCTACCTGCAGGAAGTTACCAGGGCCGATTCGTGCAAGCCAAGGATCAAATATCGACTGCATCCAGCACGGCAGTCTCAGCATCAACAAAGCATCTCGGACAACAAGCTGCAAGAGAGAGACGGAGAGAAAGACATGAAGATAAAGGTGGGATCGTGCTCTTCACAGTTCAGTTCAGAACAGCTTGCCAACGACACGAGTGAACGACGAAACGACCCACTGACAATGCTCCATCCATCACCGATTGGCGTCGACCGTTACGGAAGAAAAAAACGTCAGCAAATAGCGCAATGTACAATAGCACCACCGGCATCTAAACGCAAGACACGACGGCGTGCGGCGTTTAAAACGAGCGATGCTCAGCCCATGCACTCAATCATCCACAGCAATCAAACGGACGCGTCGTTCGTTTGAAACAACCAACTGACGAACCAATCAAACAGCCAATATAACGCCGCCGCTGCATCATCAACAAGCACAATTACAACCCAACGACAACACGACATGTCGCTGCGCGCGCCTGGCCTTTCTTTGTCTCTCCCACCACTCTTCACGACCCACAATCCCTTTCTCTCCCCACTTCCCTCTTCTTCATTACGCTATTTACGCCAATCAGCGCTCGCGTCTCGCTCTCTCGTTTCTATTGCCCGCATCACCTCTGCGCGGTCCATTTAGAAACCGACCATGAGCTTCGCCGACTATGCGTCGTCCCTCCCGCCCACGCTCTCGGCCGCCACCTCCCACGCCCCACCCGACACCCGCGCGTCCCTAACCCTCCCGTGCGCCCAGACGCGTCAAGCCGTCGAGAGCGCGACGCTGCAGCTCGAACAGTTCCAGCGCCAAGTGCTCGCAGTCAAACGCGCGTCGCTCGCCGAGGGCGCGGTCGACGAGGACCTGCACGACCGCATCCGCTTTGCGTGTCTGCTCCAGCACGAGATCGGCACCGCTTTGGCGGTCCTGCCGGTCCCCGCGGCGCAGTCGCTGATCAAACGGAAGCTGTGCAACGACTTTGCAGCCATTTCTAACCAGCTCGAACCCGCGGTCGCGCGCGTTTCTAAACGGGAACAAGCGCAGAAACAGGCGCGACAGACCCAGCAGCAGCACGAAGACGGGCCTCTATTCGAAGCACCTCTGGGTACCCAAGCGGTCGAAAGCGCCGAGCTCGAGAGGGAGATCGCCCAGAACGAAGCGCTCATTGAAGAGCGCGAGCACGATCTACACCAGATCCACCAGAGTGTCGCCCAGGTGAATGAGATTTTCCGGGACTTGGCGGCGCTGGTGCAGGAGCAGCAGGGCGCGATTGATGACGTGGACGCGCACGTGCACGAGAGCCTGCAGCAGACGCAGCAGGGGCTGAAGGAGGTGCAGAAAGCGTCGGACATGCAGGGGTACTGCTTGGTGCAGTAGAAGAGTGGGAGGCGGTTACGTGGAGATGGAGGAGGAGGAGGCGAGGGCTAAGTGCGATGTGTGGAGCGAAAGGATGGTGTCTGTATACTAGGAAGCAAGACGAGAGTGGATGGCTTGTGTCGTGGAAGGATTCACATGTGGAGAGGCAAAGGAGGTGGGGGTTGGATCAGGATTTTTCGGTGCGGGTCATGTGACAGTTGAAAGCGCGATGGAGGACGCAGTAATGGATACTTATCGGATGAATTGCACACTGCGCAGCTCCGTATCACGTACGTCCGAAGCCTTTGATGGTGGAGGCAGCTGCAGCTGCTAGTCGGAGAGCAGCACAAGCTGAAGCATTTGGACATTGGAACGAGAACACTTTTCGAGTTTGGTGTATATTTAATGCAGCTTCAGATGCACGACGCGTTGGAATAGCTGGACGACAGCACGTGACAATTCTTGTCATGATGTAGCCACTGGACGTAGTTCCGCGGTAGTTTATCACGTAAAAGCCATCACCTTCAACCTAGCAATCAAGCTGTGACCTCGAGGTATAAAATGCTTCGAGAGCGACACGGCGTGATGTCTCGGATCCTAGAAAGGTGGTTTTTGCAACTGCTGCCTCGAAGAGAGAAAGTGCAAAACGAACAGCGACGTCAGCGACGTTGCATCCCTTCAACGCGACCTTGGTCCATCACTTGAAAGAGTCCATGCATCTTGCTTTCCCAAGGACATCGAGCCGAACTCGACGTCCACCATCATCAGTCTCGATCCTGCCTTCAATTGATTCATCGGACTGAGGCAACCCGTTACACCATCACCAGCAAAACGATCGCAGTAGCGCGATTGCCACCCGAATGGAGTCGCCAGAGCACGACAACGAAGTGGTCAAACTTCGTAAACAGCTTCAGTGTCTTGAGCAAGAAAACGACGACCTGCAATCGTACGTGCGCAGGTTGGAAGCAACTGAAGAAGACTTGAACCACAAAATTGAGCGAGCCGAGGAGGAAGTTGTCTTTGCACAGCAGGAGCTCGAGTACTTCAGGGAGGAGCACGCGATGTGTCCGCTGGAGGAGATCGATGACCTGAGACAGAACTTGCAAAAGTACAAGAACGTAGTGAGTCGCTTGCTGAGTGTGGTCGACCTTCCAGACGTGACACAGGAAAGCGCGGAGACTTTTTCAGATGTTGAAGCGAATGAGCTTGAGTCGGAGCTTGATAGTCGGAACGGGGACACTGACGACATTGTCCAGGAAAACGCTGGGGATACTGACGAGCTCAATTGCGCAGCTCATGGTGAAAATGAGCAAAAGTGGACCGACGTCGTGGAGAAGCTACGATCGGAGATACGGACCAAAAGCGAGCAGCTACAGGCCGTCGAACACGACTACGAAGAATTCATGGTGACCAGTTACAACGTAGAAAAGGCTTTGGCAAGCGAAAGCTCAAGCTTGAAGCACTCCATTGCAGCCTTGCAAACAGAAAACGCTCGTCTCCAACATCTCCTCGTCACGGGACGAAAGAGCTAGCAACATGCCACCGGAAAATGAGTATACCCACAACAGACGCCACGAGTATCTTGTATCGGTTCAACGTTTTCGCGTGCGGACAACAATGTCAATCACCAAACGTTGGCCCATCCATTCACTCTCTTTTCATCACTCGTTCATGCCACCTGCCATACGTCTTTCGCGGCGCCTTGTTGTCTACGTGTCAACCTCATACTTCATGAGCGTGTCTTGCGCTCCAAAAATCGCGCACGAGCCGCAGCGATGGCATCAACTGTCACTGAAGCTGGCTGCTTTTGAGATTCCACGATTTCATCATGATTGAGCTGCTTTGCGACTATCTCGTGTTCCTGATCCGAAGCAGTAGAAGGCTTGCGTCCACATAGAGCATACAGCAGCGCCATCGTGATCTCTTTTTTGCCTTTGAAGTACTGATCAAGCCAACGACGCTCAACAGCCAATGCACATCGCATGAACGGCTTACTGGTGACAACAAGCTCTTGGAACACACAAAATTCGGGAGGGGCGGTATAGCACATCACCGATAGCGGGTGAAACTGCGCAAGCTGAACTGCTCTTTGGTCGTCATGGTCATGGTAAATGAGGCGAAACGCCGTGTCCATTGTACATCGGCGAGCCGTATTCATAAAGAAACCAGCGCAGAACGCTTGGCGAAGGCGATCATCTACTGACTCATTCAGTCGATTCCCATCGTCACGCATCCTCGTCTTTACAGCATCAAGATCAAGTTGAGAAAGTGAATCAATGATTGCACGAAGCTGTCTCATAATGGATACTGCCATCGTCAATGCCCGGAACCGGAGATGACGATCTTCACACCACAGCTCAAGGTCACGGGAATAACCTCGCCGTTCACGAGACTTAGACTCGAAGGTCTCCAGCAATAATCGAAACGTGAGCGGATCTCCGTCTTCGTGCACAAGTCCGTCTTCTTTTAGAACCAGCATACGATGCGCCCAGTCAAACTCCTTGTTTCTTTCGTCGTCACTTCCATCACGGCGACGCTGCTTCTGACGAGCCTCAGCAAAAATGTTTTCCACAGAAAGCATGGCAACTACCTGCGTCATCTCACGGCTACAATCCAGCAGCAACGATTCGACCAGGGCGCGGGATAGCCTTGGCTCAAGTGGAAAAGCAGCCATGAGTTTGCCAACTGGAGTAGCCTCACCGTTGCTGGGATCTAGCGCTCCTAGCACGTACAGCTGCTTCAGTGCATCCAAGAGTGTGTCGTCATCAGGTGGGTCCAAATACGGAAATCCGAGCACATCTTGTACACCGAGCAGCTTTAGGTACAGCACGGTGTTTGCCAGGTTTGTGCGTTGAATCTCGGGCACGGTCTCCTTCGCCATTTCTTCGTAAGACACCTTGTTGTATAAGCGGAAACACTTTCCCGGAGCCGTGCGACCTGCTCGACCAGCCCGCTGCTGCGCTGACACCTTTGATATCGGCACAATTACTAGCGACTCGATCTGCTGCGCTGGATTATACACTTTCTGCTTTGTAAAGCCACAATCCACCACATATCGAACGCCATCAATAGTCAGCGAGGTCTCCGCAATGTTCGTCGCGACAATCACTTTGCGTACACGATTTACCGGCACCACGTGAAAGATGTCACGCTGTCGCCGGCCTTGCAATGCACCATACAGCGGCAGAACACGCAGCTCCAAGTCATTTCTTCGCTTCTCTCGCTGTTCTTGATAAAACAACCGAATTTGCGCACACGCGTCTTCAACTTCACGCTGTCCTGTAAGAAAGACCAGGATATGACCCGGCTCCTCACTATTGTGCACCTGTATCGTTGTGTCCACAGCAGCACGCACATACGTTGACAAAGGACCTCTATGTCCCATGACTTGACGTTGCTTGGAATGGAAGATCTCCACAGGGAACACTCGTCCAGGAATCGTTACCACCGGACATGGCTCCACCGTCTTCTTTCTCTTGTGCTTGTTCTTCCCGCCCAACGCTTCACTTGGTATCGTCGTCATCATTTTGCCAAAAAACTCGGCAAACCTGTCGGCATCCAACGTCGCAGATGTGATGAGCACCCGAAACTCCGGCCGTCGTGCCATCACCTGCTTCAATAGACCAAAGAGAAGGTCTGTATGGATACTGCGCTCATGAGCTTCATCCAGCATCACGACACTGTACTGCTTGAGCAGCGGATCGTTCAGACAGTCCCGCACCAAAACTCCATCCGTTAGGAACTTGAGCCGAGTCTGGCTGCTGCACCGCGACTCGAAGCGGATCGAGTACCCCACGACCCCATCCCCTCCCACACTTGTGTTCATTTCTTCAGCTACTCGAGTCGCTACCGACACAGTAGCGACTCGTCTGGGTTGTGTAATGGCTACACAAGGAGATACCCCACTTGGACCACGTTTATCATCGGTATATGCACCACAGGCGTCTAAAAACTGAGGAATCTGCGTGGTCTTGCCGGATCCGGTCTCTCCGACACAAATGACGGCTTGGTGGTCGGTCAGGGCACGAAGGAGCTCCTCGCGATGCGCTAAGGCAGGTAAAGTCGGGCTTCGGGTGACGTCGGGAGATATCGTCTCCTGAGCGCTAGACGCGTCTGAACTTGACGAGCTTTTGTGAAGATGGAGAGAAGATGCAGAGGAAGAAGACGGTGTATGCTGGTCGTGGTCACGGCTTGAGGGGGGACGCGGGTGAGCGCGCGACGGCGAGCGTCGCCGCTTCCGGTCATGGTCTTTGTTGCGAGTCATGTGAGATGAGAAAAAAGTGGTTTGGACCAATAAGGAAAAAGACTTGCGATATAAAGTTGGCAGATCGCGTTGTTGGAGCGAGCGCTGTCGATTGCAGATTCGGACCTCGTGGGTATCAAAATCATTTTTCTTTTTATGGAAAAATAACTTTCTTTTGCCATGCTCACTCAGTTGTAGACCATTGCTATTGCGGAAATTATCACTTTAGAGAGGAAAGTTGCTGTCACAAAGTAGCGACGTAGCGCCTCCTTATAAGGTGCACCTAGAGCTTTTTGTCTCACAAAAAGGAGGTCCATTCACATTTACTCGAACCTTGTAACTTGTATCGAACGTGCACGCTCCAATCTGCATGAACAGACGCAACATTTGCGAAGATTGTTACGGAATCGCTGTGTCCAGATCAAGAAGGACCAAAGTCTGTCATCGTAGCAGCAGAGCGCATGCGTCTAGTTTCCAAACGTCAGCGACTTTACATCCATAGCATCCGCCAAAGCAGATAAAACAGAAGGAGCGTGACTTTCATGAGACGCCCTCAGCGTCAACAATGATCAATCTCCATCCTGCAAGCACTTTCCATTCGTTACACTTGCTTGACTTGCTGCTCGGTTCTCCTGAAAAGATTAAGGTCCTCTGTTAGAGTCAAAGCCAACAACGAGCTGTCGCCGTGCCTCACTTGATGACCTTAAATGCCACACTTGGTCCTGCCATAGCCAGACCACTCCCCATCTAGTACAGCATGGCGTCCTTAATGTCCTTCGGGTTCACTTTGGGCTTGAGCTCGTCATCCGGGCGCATCCGAAATCCCGGTCCGGGGACCTTGTCCCACTTGAGCGAAGTCTTGCCCTGCGGACCTTCGCACGACAGCTGTCCGTTCATCGGCAAACTGCCCCATTTGTTCATCGAAGGCGGTGCATCCTTTTTGCAGGCGTCCAGTAGCTCACGTATCGTCTCGGGGGTCAAGTTTTCCTATCAAATGTATACAAAACAATTCATCAACATCAGCAAAAGACTTCCATTCCCTACGAAATGACGTCCCCACCAGTGCAACTCACGTAGTAATCGTCATTGATCTGCACCATGGGAGCATTGGCACACGCCCCAAGACACTCGACCTCCTGCAGCGTAAACATCCCGTCTTCCGTCGTGTCTATCAATCCACCAATTTCAACAAATAGAATTTAAGTACCTCTTCATGCTGCATCCGTATACCACATCCGCGTCCAAACGACCCCACCCCCCTGCCTCACCTCCTTTCTTGATCCCCAAATGGTCCTCAATCGTCTTCCGGATCTCCTCTGAGCCGCAAATCATGCACGGCGTCGTGCCACAGAGCTGGATAAAGTACTTGCCCACCTTCTCCCGGTTAAACATCGTGTAGAACGTGGCAACTTCGTAGACCTGGATGGGCTTGGCGTCGACTATACGCGCCACTTTGTTCATAGCCGCCAGCGGCAGCCAGCCTCCGTGCTGGCGCTGCGCCAAGTCCAGCAATGGGATGATGGCCGACGCCTTGTAGTTCTCCGGGTACCGGTCCAAGATCGCGTGCACGCGCTCGTAGTTCTCAGGCGTAAAGTCGAAGGGCGTGTCGGCATTGTTGTCCTCCGTGTCCCGGTGCTGTTACAAGTAAAGTGGTGACACAGTGTCAACCAACACGAGATCACAGTAACAATAAGCCGTGAAGTAGCAGTAAGGTATCCATCCACCAGGTTCTGACACGTAAACAGCTGAGCTAACGGTGTATACCTGCACGAAACTGTCACGGGCGACACGAGACGAGTGGAAGCTCGTGACGGGGCCACGGTATACGCAGCGCGGCGCAGACGTAGCGTGAAGGGCACGTATAGTACGAGAGAGCATGGCGAGCGAGTCGAGGCGCTTTGGATTGACTGAGGACCGACTGATTGGCTGATTGCTTGACCGTCGTTGGCCTTTGGATGTTGCGGGACGGGATAGAGGGGGGGAGGCGGGATGTGGGTATACAGGACGACTCGGGTCGGGACCACGTATACTGGCAGGTCAGGCAGGCCATGGACTGGTACCGTGTACCACTCTCGAAACCTACGGCGGAGAGAACGCTGTCAGTCGAGACTTGGACGCAGTTGTAAAAATGGTACGAGCTGTTAGGCGTCACTTCCCACCGACGTAACGACTTAACTAACGACCCCTCCCCCCTCTCTCGCTCTCTCTTCTTGTGTGTATACACTTGTGTGCCAACAGGCGGATGAAGAGCCCGTGGATGTGATGCCTGGTATCCGCAAGGCGTGCGAGCCCAAGTGCAAGGAGCCCTTCAACGCTTACCATGCCTGTCTGGACCGAGTCAAGTCCAAGGGCGTTGGCTCGTGCGACGGCCAGTACTTTGACTATCTGCACTGCATTGACAAATGCGTACGTTCTTTGGCTGCTGTGCCATGGTGGCTGCACTGCTTGTACTGCTGTAGTGACACTACTGTTGGCTCACGACGGTCTTTGGCCCTTGTTCTTTGTTGTGTGTTTGTGTCTCCTTGCAGTCTGTCCCGCAGATCATGAAGCATCTGAAGTAGCACTTGTCCAGCAGACTGGATCAAGTGACGGCTGTCAGCTTGTTGCAGTAACGAGACTGTTAGTACGAGTGCACTACTGGCGACGAAGCTGCTCGCTGCTTGGATCTATCATCAGTCTAGGGACGTTTACACTTACTTCTACTACTACGATGACACTTGTTGAGCAGCTGATCAATACAGAAGTCTTGCTTGAGTTTGTCGTCGTCCATCAGAGTGCCATAACGTACATGCGTTCGGTATGATTTCGCCTCCACCTCTCTCTTACCATCAGTATCCTCGACTTTCCATGCAAGTCGGACACCGAGATGCTGTCCGCATTCGGTGGCTACGTCCCCTCGCTCGAGTGACGTCTTCGTCTTCGTACTTTACGCCGACGTCTTCGTACTTTACCAGGTCGTGTACCCACGCTGTGATTCGCGGATCAACGTCCAATCACATTCGACAACGAAAGCGGTGGCAGCCAGCGCTTCGTGCAGCCACGACCGACCCAGTCGCTCAATTTGGAGAAAAGAACGGAGCAATCATGACTGTAAAGCGCCGTAACCATGGACGGAACAAGAAGGGCCGCGGCCACGTGAAGCGCGTGCACTGCGTGTCCACGGCCAAGCTCATTCCCAAGGACAAGGCGATCAAGCGTTTTGTTGTGCGGTACGTTGATGTCGTTCTTGCTGTTATTATCGTTGTTGTCGTCTCTAGAAGTGAGACTGTAGAAGTGAGACTGTATCTTGGAAGAGCTCTTCCGATCTTGATGCTAACTTGATGCTCTGGTTCCAACTTGCAGCAACATTGTGGACCAGTCGGCCATTCGTGACCTGAAGGAAGCGTCCGTGTACGAATCGTATGCATTGCCCAAGATTTACATCAAGAACTACTACTGCGTGGAAGCTGCAATCCACCAGCGTATTGTGCGTGGTCGTTCCGTCGAGGCTCGTAAGAGCCGTGCCCCGCCTCCGCGTCGCTTTGCACCGAAACGCGTATAGGCTGCTTTGCTAAGTTGCAGCGGTCCACGACCTCTGGTAGTTGCTCCTGTTACTGTTCTGGATGAGTAACTTGCCGGTCCCGTTGTTTACTTTTTCCGTCGGGTGACTGACGAGCTCGAACGAAAAAGACAGACTACTGAATGCCGTTCCGATCCAATGTCGAGGTGGTGTTGCCGGACAGCTTTGTATGCCATAATATACGAGGCATTCTTTCTCCAATGTGTCAGCAGCAGTCGTTTTTTGAATGTTTATGAGAGATCTGCGCGTACTTTGGAGCCCCCGAAGCAGATGGTGATGTGGCACCATCGTTTGATCCAGGACACACGGACAAGGTTGACCAGCAGCTAGCTCCAGTTTAACAAGGCACCAAGACATGGCCAATGGTAGTATTGGACCCGCACTTGCTGAGTACCAACCACCTGCTGGTATACCCTTCACACCTTTCTTCGATACCGGTGCTCAAAAGCACCCCTCTCTTGTCACTCCTAGCAAATTCGACGTGTCTCCACTCCTTCACATAAGTTCACTCGCATATTTGTTGTTTTTCCACCAGTTGACAGCGTCTTTTGCAACCGCAACCTGATTCAACAACGTTACGTGTTTTCGCTCCATGACCGCCAATTTGAAACCCATTAACCCCGAAGGTCCTCAACGTTCTGCCATGACTTGCATCTGTAAAAACGACCGCTTGCTTACCAGTGTACTTTGAGCAAGTGTCCGGTATATTAAAACAGACACGAACCAAGGCGAAAAGCGAGTCAAATCGGCCAGTGTACAGATTTCGAAGCTCGTCGCCACGAGTCTCTCTTTTTTTGGCCAATCCGCAAGCAGAGTCTATATTTACATACCCCTATCTCCTGCGACAGGACTTCAGCACTGACCCTTTCCGTCGTCCAAAGGGCACGACCGTGACTACCACTGACCGCGAGGGAAGGGGAAGGGGACACGACAAAAAAAGGACGATCCCCGACGCCTGAGGGGGTGGGCGCTGATCCATCTGGTTCCAGGAGCTCCTGCTGCATGGGCAACAGTGAGCCAATCATAACGCGCGAACATCCTTTCTGCCAATCAGCTACGCGCCTCGCTCCGTCGCGACATGAACATGGCAAAAAAGCCCACGACCAGCTGGTACGACTCCCTCTTTCCCCGTGTTTCAACGTACCAAAACACGGTCCTTCCCGCGACCTCGCTAACAACCGCACTTGAACCACATCCTCCACCGTGTTCTGTCATTTCATCTTCCACCGCCCTCCCTCTTGTCTACCTCTTTTTGTCACAAGTACCTCCAGCCCATCGAAAACCGCGCTCCTCCCCGTCGATCGGTCGTCTCGACCGCTTTTCCTCCCCCCTATTCCGAAGCGGCAGGCAACGCCCAAGGCCGTGTCAAGGCCCGCTCTCCAGTCGTCTCACAGTGACCGTGACCATCTCTTAGCCTCGAGTTTCCGAGTCTCTGGACGTCACCCGCTCGCTCGCTCTCTCTCTCTTGTGTGTCTGTGTACCATGTCGCAGCAAGCCAAGGACATTTACACGGGCATTAAGAAGATCTTCCCGAGCGCGCACCGCCCGTCGAGTTTGTCGTTTTCCAGTCGCGTGAGTGCCGCCGCGTTGGACTCGGACCACTCGCGTCACAGTAGCAGCAGCAGCAGCAGCAATGGGGATGTTGCGGTTGAGATCAGTCAAGGCCGAACGTCTGTGAAGAAGAAGAAGAAGAAAAAGACTCGACCGTCGAGTTTCTCGTTCTCGACGTGGAAAAAGAAGGACCACCACGAGCGCCGAGCGCCGAGCGAGTCGACGCCGCCGGTTGTCATGTCGTTGCCTTACGGCGCGACAGCTGCCACGCCCAGAGCTAAGCAGACGTCCGACGAGCGCGACAAAAGTGGAGCTGCAGCTGCACGGTCGTCGCTGACGCAGACGCTTCATCAAGCTTTTGGCACGGTGTCGAGTCACAGTCGCAGCAATAGCAGCTGTGGTGGCAGCAGCACGTTCTTTAGCAGCAAGAAGAAACCTCAGAACAGTGAGACTGAAGACGGCCAAACGAGCAGTTGCAACAACGGCCATCGAGGCTTGACGTCATTTCTGTCGTCGACGACGACGACGTCTTCCACTGCACCGTTCACGCAGTTGCCGCCAAAACTCGGTGGACGCAGCGTCAGTGCTGGAGGGGATCGACTGTCGTCGTATTCTCGGGGCCGATTCCAGCTGCAGCCAAGTGGCAGCTCCTCGTCAGCTACTGCAGCTGGACAGACGTTGAATGTGTGTGGTGCTATTGCTGGTAGTAGTCATCATCTGACGAGCTTTAGTGCCGTCAAGACAGCGCCAAGCACGTACCAGTCGACTTCGAGCGCGATCTCAAGTCTCACGGCGCGGGAAGAGAGTTGTGGTGGTGGCGGTGATGGCAATAACAGCATTGTTTACTCTCCCAAGAAGAAGACGACAAGGACGAAGGACCGGGGGAGAGCGCTGTCGTTTCTGTCGTCGTCGAGGAGGAAGAAAGAGGAACAGGAACAAGAAGAGCTTGAGCTTGAGCTGGAGACAGCGAAAGAAGATCAAGATGTATACTCCAAAGATGAGCAAGAGATTGTCCGACCTCATGCGCCGACGTGGGATTCGGACAGTGACGACGACTACGAGAATACTAAACGACCGATGCGTGGACTCGATCGCCGCTCACAGAGTATGGACTTTATGGAGCAGGCACCGACGCACTTGATCGCCAAGATTTGGCGCAAGTTGCCAATTCAAGCTCGACTTATCGGTGGGCGTGGCAATATCGATCTGGACTTGCAGAAGGACCGCACGAGCTTCTCGCGCAGCTCCGAGGCGCGGAAGTTTGCAATGGCAGCTGAGAAAGCCAAGGCCGCTGAGCTGCAACATCGGTCGATCTCGGAAGACAAGGTGCCGTCCCCTGCATCTTCGACGGAGGACGTGTTGTCATCTGGGGAAACTAAGCGCACACGGTTTAACCCCAAGCTGACGGTGGTTGCTTCTGATGCCAGTGACGGTGCTGCAGGAGCGTACACTGCAGTTGAGAGCTACGATGATGTGCTGGTGCGCGTGTGCAAGTTTGCAGCGCATGACCAGCGACCGACAACGACGAAAGTGCAAGAGTTTCTTGAACGTTCACTTGCCTTTCTGCACGGGTCGCGAACGAAGCACGGCAATGTGGTGAACATTTCGAACGGGGAGATTCGCATGTGGCGTCGGCTGGCTTTGCACGACTGGACATTGGAGGAAGTGACGACGACACAAGCGGCTGCTGCTTTAGGTGTGAAGGGCAAGGACGTTCAAGCGCCGTTAAAGCGCACGGGCTCTTCCTTGACAGAAAGCACGGACAGCGATAGTGACAGCCAGCGATCCGTGGGACATCGGAGACTGCTCGGTGTGGCTTTTCACCGGTCGCTGAGCCAGAAAGTAGTCGAGGAGGAGCCTGAAGGGGAGAAAGACGGAGAAGAAGTGCTGGACGTGCCGTCCAACATGAAGTTTGCCAAACTGTGTGACGTGATCAACTACTGCGTGAACTTTGGCGAGGTGCTGTTCACGCCGGATGAAGTGAGCGACTTGGTGCGTCTCGAGTTTATTGTGGAAGAGGACGGCTGGATCTAAGCTACTAGTAAGTAAGGAATGTAGTGAGTGTAGCAGAGACTCGAGCAGATTTTTATTCAGATGGGTATATAAGTCAATTAACTAAACAAAAAAACAGCTATTCAGAAGCAAAATCGGATCGAGATACGACAGTTGACATGCATCAAATCAATGCCAGGGACAAGTTTTCATCTCTCTTCTTCACCTTCTGTAATGCACTTCCTCGCTTGTCGCTTCTTTCCTTCCTTCCTTCACGTCTGTCTCTCTTCCTTCCTTCCTTTCCTTCACCATGGCAACACACGGTCGTCGGTTAAATTTTAACATTGCAAAGCCGGACAATGTCGCGCTTGCGGAAGCGGAACTGGCCACAGTACACGCACGAATTGATAATGTCCACGAGCAGTCTCATGTCTCGTGACGACGACACGGGTGGCGGATGTAGCCACGACACGGGCTTTCGTTTCCGGCTTGTTCCTTTCTTGCCGCTTTCATCAACATCTTGACCACTCTCCGCTCCAATTTCCTGTCGATTAGCTGCTGGCGTGGTCAAGATCGACGACGACAACGACATGGTCGTCTTCTCCTTCTCCTCGTGACTAAACGGCCGTCGATGCTTCCGGATCCAGCCACTCACGGTACTTCGGAACTTGAGCTTATCCTTCTTCCCCACTTGACCTGCCTCGTCTTCACGCGCCATGGACATCACGTCCGACTCGACACTTGCACTTCGACTGCAACTGCCCCGTCGACAGCCATGAAAACTCGCCCCAAGTGTCGACAACACCGACGAGTGGCCATTGGACTCAACCGACAAGGTCCGTTTCCCGAAATCTCCCCGCGGTGCCTCAATGTCCACAACCACTGGCACCGCATGGTGCAGCCGAAACTCGCGCTCTTCAGCTTCCCAGTCAAAGTGCGCGAGTCGTCGCCAGCGCTTGACGTCGTTGCCGGAAAAGCGCTTGTCCTGTCGAAATCCAGGCAGCCAGGGCGTATCCCCCGGCGGGTTCCCCAAGTACATGGCCGACCGGTAGAGAAACTCGGCAATCATAAGCGGTACAGACCGCTCCAGAGGCGGGTCGGGGTCGTAAAACCCATTGTACCCATCGTCCGCCGACGACGACCGACTCGTAGTCAACTCATCGTCGTCGTCATCGTTCCACTCTTCTTCAACATCGTGCAAAAACGACCTGGTGTGGAACAGCCCTGCCACATGAAATACCAACTCATCGTAACTCGTAACCCCACGCGCGGGTACGATCTCCGGCGTCTCGACGTTCTCGAACGTAACCTGACGCTTCCGACGCGACGACAGGCCCGCCGACATCACGGCGGGCACAAACACGAGGGGACGCGCCAGCGACACGAAGCGAGCGCGGGCGTCGGGCTGCGTCACGGACGCCACACTCGGGACCTCCAACGACTAGTGGCGGGACGGCCTCGAGCTCGCGTTAAGTCGATAAATGGCTGGGCGGGCGTCTACTTGGCGCGCTGGCTTGACGCCTTGTCTTGGACAATGAAGACGAGCGGCTGGCGTCGCGTCTAGGGGTCGGTCGGTTGACGCGGGACGATGGGGGTAGGTGCCATATGGTACAAAGCAGCGCGGCTATCCACGACGTCTCGAGAGGCCAGTCAGTCGCACGCTCTCTGACAGTCAGAAAGGGCGACTGGGAACAGAAAACGGGGGGACGTAGCAGCAAAGGGCGCACGACGGACGAGAGAAAGGACAAGACGGACGAGAGAAAAGACGGACTTGGCTCGAGTCTCTTGTTGTTATTGTTGTCGTTGTTACGACCGCGTCACACGGAAGGGCGGGGGGGGGGGCGCTTTTGTCGGCAGACGGGACAGACCCGACAAGGGACGGAACAGCGACCGCCGCGCCGTCATCGAATGCGCGACTGCTGCACGGAATGGTTGGCTGGCGTCGCTTGCTGGGACTGTCGGAGGAGACGGGACGCTGAGACATGTGCGATCGATCGCGGGCTGTGCATTCGATAGCGACTGGTTGTCCCGTTTTTGTCCCATGTGGCCAAGATGTTTCGCAACGAGACGTCGTGGCTTTTTTTTTCACGCGACATATGACGAGCTGTGTGTTATACCCCTGCGATATGACGATACCTGGGTTCTTTTTTGCCACACGCTCTCTTCGTCTCGATCTACTGACAATGCCCGTTTTATACACGCACGTGAGAGAGAGATTCAGTCGCTTGTCACTACTGACTCGCTCGCTTGCTTGCTTCAGACTGCCCCGTCTGCCAAGTCCAATTGGCTGCGTGACGACGACATCGAGAGCAGCCGCTGATTGAATTGCAGCAAGATCGGCTCGGGGTTCCGGCCCGTTTGCTCCAAGTCATTGGAGCTCGATCCCGACGTCTGCGTATTGGTCGAGTCTCCTCGATCACGAACCAGCTGTCGCCTGGCTTCTTGAGCTGCTGCGGCACTCTCGAAAGCAGCAGCAGCCTGCAGGACCGGACTGAGACGCTGCACCGACTTGAACATGGTCATTCGCTTGGACTGCTTGGGCCGCATCTGCTGCTGCTGCTGCTGGTGCTGCTGGTGATAATACTCTTTTGGTACAGCAATGATCTCGCGCAATTTGGACTCGAACCGCTGCTGGTACTGCACCGGGTCAATGGCTGACAAGCCTTCGCCATCCTTCTGCTGGATCGTCACCTTGAAAAACCGCTCGAGCTGCTTCTGCAGCGTCCACGTCTGGAGAATGTCAATGACTCCGACGTAGTAGTACCCAGGGCCAAACACGCGCTGGCTTTTCCGCATTGAGCGCTTCGGTCGAGGTTCCCCACCACCTGCTGAAGGTGAAGGTCGCGACGGGTTCAAACGGTCTGCAGGCTGCTGCCATATCGAGTGCACGCTTGGTGCAACACGCAGAGGGAGCTTGTCCGAGACAGTTGGCGTCGTTTCGTCGACAACGTCCTTGTCCCTTGACGATAGTACAGCTGCATTTTGAGACGCAGTGGACCAACTTGAAGATAACACCGATACAAAACTGTCGTTCGTTCCGCTCGAAATGTACGAGTCCCTCTCTACATTCGTCTCCGCATTAGTCGTGCCTTTACTGGCAGCACTGCGGTCGCTCAACAGCGAGCTTGCAAGAGGTCGAGAAGGTTGGTCTACGACAAACTCGATATCCATCACACCGAGCAGGAGGCTGTAGTCCATAATGCCGAGATCGCACAAGAAGATGGAGTCATCGCGCAATTGCTCGTACAATTTGACGCCTTCGTCCACACCGATGCGCATCCGAGTCCGCAGATCGTTGTCTTTCAATACAACATTCGGCTCATGAAGTCCAACGACATTGGGGCACTGCAACAAGCCTTTCTTCGCGCCGTACCGAAACATCATCGAACAATGCCGGCATTTGACCTTCGCTCCTCGACGCGGGCGCTTGTAACTCCGGTTCACCCATGAACCTTTGATATCGAACCGGTGGTGAATTTGCACGCCTTCCTCCATGACGTCAAAGATGTTTTCCATGACAATGAAGTAAAACCGCTTGTCGTACATGGTGATCTTGAAGCAGCCGTAGAACTTGGTGATGAGCGACAAAGGGTTTCGAGTCAGATACTCGGCGTAGCTTTCTGCGATTTTGCACAAAAAGCGTGCCTCCTCTTCGGCCATTGACTTCACGATATACTTCTTGTCACCACTGAAAAACATGAATGCACCACTCGCACCTTCACTGATCTTGGGCTTCGTGCTGGTCTGAAAAGACTTCAAAAAGTCGGCTGCTTTAATCCCATGAGCTTGGCGGAGCTCTGCGAATGCTAGTGGCTTGTACGGCGTGAGCCGAATAGACGCCGGCGCTTTGTCGGAACCATCCTTTGGCGAACTCGAATCAGCCGACGCAACCGTCGAAATAGACGAAGGTATGTGAGTACGATGGGTTGCTATGGGCGGTTGGTGCATGGCCCGCTGATCTGCAGGAATATCAAAGCTGAGGGCGGTCTCCTCGCTGTTCTTCCTCGTTGCAGCTCGTACTTCTGCTACAGCACTACTCGTCCGACGAAGTCCAGCGCTGATTACTTTTTGTATGCTAGTAACCAATCGGTTTCTTTGTGAGCCTTCAAGCAAATCGCTGCTACTGCCTGACCCGGGAAGACCCGTGGCGGTTGTTGCAGCTTCACCAAGATCCTGCGTCGATCTTCTGCTGTCGTTATCGTCGTTCATACTCGACTCGACTTCTCGTGTCGGAGACCGATCGCGAAGGCGAGTAAGTTCCTCATCTGCGACCTGCACGGCGCGTGTCATACCTTCAATCGTAAAGTAAATCAGTTCTTCTTGTAGCGTCGTATTGAGCTGCGCGCTGAATTGCTTGTCCACCGAATCTGACGTGAACTTCAGCCAATTTGCTCGAATCTGGCTTGGACTATTGACCATGAACCACACAAAGTAATCGACAGTCCCACGAGCCGATAGTGTGAAGGTAAAAGCTCGGAAAACGTGACTAGGTGGAAAGTGGCCGTTCTTGTCGTACGTCGTTCGCGTCTGAAACGAGACAGCATACCACAGGAACACAATGGTCCAGTAGACAGTGTAGCTCATAATTGACAGCGCACTGTTTCGCAGCATCTCGCGTCGGCTCTGTAGCGTATCACGCAATCCCGAACGAAGTCGTTTGGTTCCGAACGCCATTATCGTGATGCCCGAGATGTAGAATATAAGCATCCAAACGTAAAACAGTATCCAGCTGCCCAAGTTCAGGTGGAAAAAGTCTCGTTCAACAGGATCACTGGAGGTCTTCCGTTTCGTCCAGCAATAGTTTCCATCCGCGAAGCCATGGAGGCTCGGTACCAGTGCTAAGAAAATGCCCGTACACGCTCCAGACGAGTATATCGCAATCTTAAATCGTTTGCGATTGACCTTGACGCTCATAAATGGATTCGTGAGCGACCAGTACATGTCAACAATCTGTGCAAAATACCAGCAGTTGCTGGACAGATACAAGAATTGAGTCACGCCGGATAGAAAAGCACAGGATCGTTCGTCGTGCACTCTGTACAGTCCCATCTCCAGTAGCAACGGGTCCAGCAAGAAGCGAAGTGCCAAGCACATGTCAATCACACACTTGTAATAAATAAGAGGGTTTGGATGCCGCTGGAAGCTCTGCACGCCATGGTACGTCACAAAGACACAGACACAGAGAAGAAGCGTGAGCAACGAGCCAAACACGAGGCCCGGGTCAATGACGTAGCCGTGTAGCGTGTTGATCGTCAGGGCCAGTACGAGCAAAAGCAGCAGTAGCACGAGGCCAAACCCGAGCACCACGTACGCTTCCGTGGACCACTTGCTAAAGTCCACTTGAGGCTTCAAGATCTGTCCAATGGTCTCGTCCATCCCGCCACTTTCCTGGATGACATTGAGATCAAACTCGTGATTCGGCGACAGCTGCAGTGGGTCTCGTTCCATCGGTGCTCGACCAATAGCTTCAAAGAAACTCTCGCGTAATCCACCCACGTTCGACGACATGCGAGACACCATGGTTTCCCGCACACTAAAAGTGCTGCCCGTACTGGATGTCTTGCTGTTATTAGTTCTCGTGCGTTGGAACCGGATGCTTGAGTTTGCATTGTCCCGTCTGCTGTCATTCTTGTGCGTTTTCTGTGACGCGAAATACTTGAGCCCATCGGAATCAGTAGGATGACGAACGGGATCAGGTTCGTCCTTTTTTGTACCCTTGACTTGACTACCGGTGGTCTTTTTTTGTAACGGACGAAACTGTCGGATCACAGCTTGAAGTACGGAAGCTGCTGGTGGAGGGCTTGGAATGTTGTCCGAAGGTACCGACCGAGCGTCGACATGGGGTTGTGGAGACTGGAGCGGAGACGGCGCGATGGAGAACGCCGAGTCGCCCGTGTTGCCTATTGACCGATCCGACGATGGACACTGCGCGTTCGATCGAGAGGACGACGGTGACGATAAGCCGGTGGGTACGAAGCGTAACCTTTCCGTAGCTGGCAGCAGCGACGGTCCAAGTGACGTCGCGTCCGAGTCCATCTCGATATTGCACAATGGGTACAACCGTCGAGGTGCGTTTGATCCGCGTAAAGTATCCAGTCGCAGCAAGGTAGTCAAAAAGCGGCTGGAATCAGATCCTGGATTTTCCTCGACGGCTTTTTTCTCACGTCACACAACCTTGCCGTATCGAGCACGGTCGTTGGTGTGGTACACACACGCACTTTCTCTCTCTCACGCGTAAAAAGTCTGTGAGCCATCGATGACGTAATTACGCATGGCTACGAATTGGTTGGTTGGCAGCCGTTGCGTCGCTTGGAAGCAGCGCATCAGTCTGCATAACATCCTTTTATCATGGTGCGTGTCTCTGCTGTGTGTGTTGTTCGTTCGTAATGGGGGGAGGTGGCGTGTATATTGGCACAACTAGATGCAACCTAGTCGAGGTGCTGGGCCCAAAGTGTAACCTCGGATACCACCTGCCACATTGTGTTTTGTCAACCAGTAGCATGTGCCGATTGTTCGCACTCGACGAGAAACAATAAAGTGATAGAAGGACTGTACTTACGTGACTGTTGTTGGCTATCGTGTTTGCAGCCGTCGCACAAGACTTTTCGCACGAAGCGCATTCTCGCCAAGAAGGCCAAGCAGAACCGTCCGATCCCGCAGTGGATTCGTCTCCGTACGGACAACACGATCAAGTGCGTTGTCCATGTTATTACACCATTCGATTCAAGTAGACACAGCTGCTTACAACATTTTGCTATTGATGTTGTAGGTACAATGCTAAGCGTCGCCACTGGCGCCGTACCAAGCTCGGCTTGTAAGCCGACTCAGATGCAAATACGAGGTGCTCGAAGCATTGGCTGGACTTCTGGTCCAGTGCTTTTTGGCGTGGGAGTTCGGTGTTGGCAGAATCTCTGGTCTAGTAGACAGAATCCTTTCGTGCTAGCAGCAGATAAACCAGCAGAACGAATTCCTTGAGAAGGATGTTGATCTAGTAGTTGTCGATGCTGTTGCTCCGTGTCATGTTGATGGTGGTCGCCTACGCTACACTGCTACAGTCGATTCAAAGTAGTGAATGCTGTCGCTGTGATTCCAGACTCACGTCATGGTGTAAGCATCTCTAGAGTAAACACCGTCTGAGATGTAAGTAGCTGCGCTTGTATGCAAGCTCGGGAACGTGATCGTGGAGGATAGATGGTAACGGGTACGTTAGCTGGTTGAGCTGTTGAGGAGATACGATAGGGTGGGTAGCCAAGTGGATACGTCCTTAGCCATCCGCTTGCTCCAAGCGATGCTGTTTCAACTTCATTGTTTCGATACCACATACACGAACGAAGCGATGCTAGTTGGTCTACTAGGTCTGATAAAGACACATGAACCACGAAGAGGGCAACCAGCTCGACGTCGTCTTCGTCATCTACGTGGGCTCGATTGTCAAGTGGGTCTACTGAAACCAGTGCGTGAGCCGCACCTGCTGTTCCCTCGTGCAGCACTTCGTACTTGCCACACATAGACAGCGTCGTTCACGACAACAGGCTGCTGTTGGTCATATGACAATAGGGTGGCGTTAGTTCATCGTGCCTACATTGAACAGGTAGAAAGCGAGCGGAAGTGACTTCCATCACCTCAAGAGCGATCAGTCGCCGGTGCCAGTTAAAGAGCTCTTCGACCTGGGCAGATATCTGTGCAGCTCCTAGGACGCTGCTACTTTCAACCCTTGATCCGTTCACCTGCAATCACCCAGTACAGCACTAAATGCTTGCGGCATTCATAGCATCAATATCGTCAGGAGCAGTGACTGCGTCCCGGCGAGACGAGGATCGGAAGTGAACGAGCCCCCGATGTGGTCGTCGTACAAGTTTGACAGGATGAACAACCGTATTTCAACATGCATGGACATTGCCCGTCTTTCAAGACTACCGCTTGTTTGTACCGGGATGCTGGGAATGGGTGCTCATCGAACTGCGTGATCAATTGCTGGTGCGATGTGTCAAGGTAATGAAAGTCGATCAAGTGTCCCATGCACGCATGTATTTCCACATCAAGCACCACACGAGCTCAAACTTACTGCTGCTTCGAAGTACACATCTGCTTGTCGTATGACCAGCAGCTAATTCTACTGAGATGTCACTTGCCATGCTGTACCAGTTGCAAGCTCGCGAAGCAATATGCGGTTCTTCAGTACAGACGCATATCGTATCAGACACGCTGGATGTAGCTAAGTTTAGGCGACGTGCAAACAAGGTATCATCGGCGCTCTGCTTTAGCTGAAGCCATCCATGTCGTTATTCACTGCAGATGAGCGAACAAAGGATCGACAACATGGCAGGTAGCTAGTCTCTTGAATGCTACTTGCACCATCCGTGCCAAACTCGATTCCTTACTCCGAGTCCACGACATGTCGTCAAAAGTAACAGGAACCTTTGACCATAGCGGCTAAGCACTTTTTCGACAGCAGCATTAGACACTGCAAAGGACAGCATCAACGTCTTCTGCGAAGATCAATGGCAAAATTCCACTGTTCCTCCATCAACCTACACATGGGCTACCCTCGGTTGCAAATGGTAGTTACAGGCTCGAGTATGTGCTTTTTTTCGATCAGACAGCTTTTCCACACGAACATTGATAAATAGCCCCACTCAATTTCAACACCGGTTATCTCCTCCAGCTCACTGCACACTCGGTGTTCATCATACACTACTACATCAGCTGCTCACGAAACCATTTTCCTTCCACTGCAACCTTCACTGGATCAAACATCGTCGTCGCAAACTCCGAAAAACAAACATCCTAGCTCGTCTCACTGTATCGTCCGTCGCAATTTGTTCCGGAACTCTTTCTTCAGTGCTGACAACACGTGAATATCATCGTGCAAATCAGCAATCAGTTGATCCGGTGCTTTGCTATCCTTGCGAAGCGTGGCCAGCAGCACCTTCTTATTGTGGAGAGACTCAAAGATCACCTCGAAATTCTGCAGCAGCAAACCAAAGTACTTTTGTTCTGCCAACGCTGCGCGCATTGACGTATCCATCGATCTGTTGCTCGCGTTGGAGTTGGCCGTGTTGCTACTGCTGCCTTCTTCCCCAGTTGTCTCGGAATTCTCCGTGCTATTCTCTTCCGGCGAGTGACCACGCAAATCTCCGCTGCCTTGACCGCACCCGTTATCGCCACTGTTTTCCCTGCTGACTGCACCAGAGCCGTCAGCACCCGCAGTACCATCACGAAAAGCCGCAATAGCACGTGCGCTGTTATACGCATCCGAAGTCGGTCCTGCCGGTACAGACCGTTTGTACCGCTTGTGGTTGCGCAGCATCGGCGTCCCGGATCCGATCAAGGGACCAGTCTCTTGGTTCTGATGCGCTTGTTGCTGTTCGTGTGCAATCGACTCTGATGCTTCAGTGGTACAGTTCTCGTCAATGTACTCGTTCGACTTGATCAGATGCAACAGGTCCGGCCGGGCATGCAGTCGCTGGTGCAGGTAGTACACGTCTGGTCGTCCATCGCAAAAGTTAATGTATTCGCGGTCGTCCACTCCTACAACAAGCAGCACGAACGACAAAGAACCACAGCAACAAGTCAGTACACATTCCACGTCGGCACATGATTAGCACAGCGTCTCTTTCGACAGCAGTTATCATCACATTCGTCTCTCATCGTGGGGTTTCCACTCATTTGGGGCTCGAACCGCGAACCGCGGAACGAGCTTGAATGCATTGACCCCCAGCAAGTTGAAGCGATATACAGGTTTGCTCACTCTTGTTCATACCAGCAGTTGTAAACTCGAAACACGTCTTCGTGTACGCGAACGTGAGCTCTTTCCAGATCTCCCACAGCTGCATGCTGCTCCACTTGAAATTACGCGAGTTCGTGGCACTACCGCCTGAACCCACGGAATTTTGCTCTTTACGCGAAGCAGCAGGACCCGGCGGATGCTGGCGGCTCAGCAGTGCAATGTACATTTCACGAATGTCAACCCAAAACTGCCACCGCGAGAGCTCGGCTGCTAACCGGTCGACAAAATCAGGTGATAACACGACATCCACCAGGCGAATCACGTCTTCCGACGTCACTGGCACTTCCTTCGGATGCGGGTCTCCTTTCAACTCTTCGTCGAGATATCGTCGACTCGTCGTGAGCTTTAACGAGTCCGCTCGCTCTCGAGATCGCGGGTCTCCACTGTCCCCACCACTCGATGGCGGAGACGGACTTTGGCTGCCGTAATTGGCATAACTTCGAGCACGTGATGAGGAGCCATATTGCGACTGGGATGTTGGCCCAGCACTTCGCTGGTCATACCGTGAGCGGTACAGCGTATCCGAGCGGGATCCCGACATGGAATTGGCACCATTGCTCGATGGTCGCCGTCCTTCCATTCTTTGAGAATGCTGCTGTGGCGACATCGTCGTCGGTTGATGCTGTATCGGTGCCCCGCTGGTACAGCTACTGCTGTTGTTATCGACACTCGCAGCATTTGCCATGTCTTTCAGCCGCTGGTTCCGGTAGTACCGATACAGTGCCTCGACCATCACGTGCTTCTTGACGTTCTTCAGGCCACGCAGTTTCAAGTGCGAGCACTTTTTCCGAAGTTGTTTCGACGTCCACGTCTCGTATCGCGTACTGTCACGAGGATGACGAGCTTCCCCCAGTGGCTCGTACTGCATCGGATCTTCACTTGGTGGATCTCCATATGCTTTCGATCCATGACGACGTGCAGATGTCGTGCTAGCACTTTCACAACCACCACCACCACCACCTGCAATACTACTACTACTACTCTTACTAGTAATGTTTGTCACCGGGAGGCTCGCGCCACTCAAGCTGCTCGATGCACGACGAGACATGGTCGTGGTTGTGGATCCCGCAGCACTTACTGCTTTCTGCTGCATTGGCCCCATCCGACCACTTGGGCCAGTGCTGCTTCCGCCGACGTTAATGGACTTGTACCCATTGTGCAGTGGACTGCTGTATGGCTGCGGCAAGTGCCGCTTCAAGCCACGTGTGGCGATGCTGGAACTTGCAGGAGCAGTTTGTACCCAGGACTCACCCGTCATAGCCGGCGACGACACGGGTGAGAGGCGGTTGTGGTTGTACGACGACGACGACGATGCGACTCTCGTCGTGCCACGACCACCGTCTTCGGACGAGCCAAAGTACGGGAGCTGCATCGGTGACGCCACTGCTGCAGTAGCCGTGCTATAAGGACTCGAGAGAGCCGACGTCGGGTACAAGTGCCGACGTCCGACCGCAGGGAGGACCCGACTTGTCGTACTGGCAGTCGACGTCGGAACGATCGACGACGAAGGTAGGACACCACTCGGACTCGGGAACACCTGCACTTGCGACGACGACGATCGGGTCGGGGTACAGTCGGACGCGGCCGACGAGGTGGTCGTGGTACCCTCTCCAGCCGCCCCGACGGCCGCTGCAGCACTGGAAGGTACCGAAAGGGCCCGTAACGCTGGAGGTAGTCGTCGCATGGGACTGCTGCTCTCACTGCTGGCGCTCTGGCGAGCGTCGAGGCCATCGACGGAGCTGTCGGGACTGCTCAAGCTCGAGACGAGAGGAGCGGACGTGGTCGTCGATGGCGGTTGTGGTTGTGGTTGTGGTCGGGGTTGGGGTTGGGATTGGGACGTCGTGGCGACCGCAGACAGAGCGGTCGGGAAGGTAGCGCCTGCCATGAGGAGCGACGACGGCGTTGATTGGCGACGAGGTGGCGGATCAAGAGGCGGTCGTGTCAAGTGGTGGCTCGTTAGGTGGTCGGTTTCTCTATCCGTGCCAGTTTATAAGCACGATAGAGAGAGAGAGGGAGGGAGCCGATGATTGGATCGATCGATCGATCGATCGAAGGATGGATAGATAGATAGATAGATAGAGAGACTCACGCCCTCACTTAGACAGTCAGTCAGTCAGTCACACGCGGCGGCTGTTTCTTTGGTCTCTGCACGTGCATAGATAGGTAGAGATAGAGAAGAGAAAAACACACACGGACATGTTGTTAGACGTGGGATATTCGTTTTCAAAGGGCGAGACATCGCGAGGCCGTTGCTTTTTTTTTACCGGCACTGGTTGGTTGTTGCTCCGGGGGGAAATTCGCTTCTGTTTAGGCCCGTGGTGTTCCAAAGGCGAAGCTCGCCGAATTCCGGGGCGAGGCGACATCCCGTTCAAAGCGATACTCGTGGGTTCGGTTGGATGAACGACCACCGGGTACATCCGACGACCAGAGAGGGACAGGGGGGGAGGGGGTACGATCCTGAGTACGGGGTACATCCGACGACCAAAACGTGTGTACATTTATTTACCGCGAATGAATTGAATCATGTCGTCGCTCACAGTATAAAACACACGAGCACCCGTTTCTAACTGCACGAATATGCGCGTAGTGCCGCTCTTTTTTCGACCCTGACGCAGTAGCAGCTCATATATATACTAGTTAGAGACGCGCTTTGGTGTCCATTAGCTCGCGTTGCGTACTCGTACAATGACAAGGTAAGTGGAAATAAAAAAGGTATCGAATAATACGATTACAAGGCGGCCGTCACCTGGTCGCCAATACGACAAGGTAGGCTACGTCTGGCCTCCGACCTTAGCTGGTCGTAAGTCCACGCATGCTTCGTTCACATGTCAGTGGGAACCAAGTAGCCCTGCTATCCATTGCCAACGACGGTGTCAAGAGAGATTCAAGCTGACAAAAGGTGGTCGGACCTGCCAAAAGATGACCATTTACGTGAACGTGGTGTCAAAAGGTGCGTCGGCGTTCCACGACCAACTCAGTTAATTTCAGTCGCCTCATCCCGTCGCAGTTATTCTTTTCCACCAATAGCAGTAGCGTGAGAGCTGACGAGTCACCAGATGGTCACAAGGTGATACAACGTGCCCTTTCTGAACGAACGTTGCGGAATTCCGCGAGACTCGTCAGCCACTATCGCCGACCGTCTCGGATCCTGTTTCACGACCACGACTCCCTCCCCTTCTTTCTTCCTTAATGCAGAGACTGAAGAACTGTACGGACCGCCTCTTCCTTCCACCCATGACGACGGGGAAGCAACTGAGTTGCGAAAGGCCATTCGCCTCACCGAATTTTGAACTAGCTGCTGCTGCTGCCCAGCCCAGTTTGCATGAATGGGTGGGCAGGCAGCAGGCCGACTGTAGTCAAGAGAGATGGTCGTCGTAAAACAACCGCTTGCAAACATCAGCGGCGAGTCCCGAGATGCAGTGGACGGACTGCAGCTGCGAGCTTGTCCTTTGTTGATCCAATGTCTAAGGATTACTGGTCCTGTGTCACTCCTGGCTGCTGTAGTGTCCGTTATGGAACATGCCCGCAGCGTGTCCGCCGACTCTTATTAGTGTAGGTGTGGTCGTGGAACGCCCTTTCGGGGCTGCATTCAACCTGTTGTGCGTGTTCGATAGCATGGCGATGCTGATGTATGAACGACCAGATGCAAAGGTGTCGGACAGTTGTCGCAATGAGATTCAGTAGAAACGCTTGCGAGACTGCCGGATGGATGTAATGCAAGAAGGACGGAGGACGGCATCGAGGCTATGCATGCATCATGGCGTAGCGTAACAACGGGGCACGTGGTCGCGGTTTCCCAACGTCAACACAATTTGCAACAAGTGTACACATGGTTCAATTCCAAAGGTTGCAAGCGAAAACCCGCAGAAGTGATCAGGACATGCGGAGAATCGCGACATTGTGGCAGCGTCGTTTCCACGGTCGCTGGGCGAATTAACACTTGACCTTGAAAGACAAGTAGAGCGACGGCAATTAGAGCCAAAAATTACGTCACACGCGTGATGGAAGCAGTCGTTGTGTTCGTGGAGGTCGCTCTGTTCTCTTTGCAGGGAATGGTGACGTCGAGTCGCGCATGTTGATGCTGCCATGACTAGCTCATTACAGACTGGTAGTCGAGTGTGAGCAGCTCTGTTTGACGTTAGCCAGAAAAAGGTCGGAATGAACTCGCTCACGTCACTCAGAGTTGCTCGAACTCTGTCCTGCTCACAGTGTTTCGTACGCGAGTGTAACCCTCTGGAGCCCAGAAGTAGGTGGTCATGCTTCGGCCCGAGTTGAAGCAGACCTTCAGCTCGATTTGTTGTGGCTTGCAGTACACTTGGTCCGGAAGCTTTTCGTTATAAAATACCGGCACGTAAATATCGAGAGCATCGATTGTAACCACTGTCGTTCTCCTTAGTAGTGCACGTAGTACTTGCAGAGTTACCTTCCTGTAAGGAGGAATGTTTGGACCACGAGGCGACGCTCAGACCCACGTATCTTTGCCTTCCCCGCGTCTCGAGATGACATGAGGCAACGCTTCAGTCGGTCGTTACAGAGAGAAAGAGAGTTCAGCAGGCGCGCAATCTCTCGGAAATGGGGCAAGGATCGATGGAATCTCAAGGCTGCGTACGTACACCATACCTGCTTCGTGTGAATCATCAAGAAACTGCCATGTCTTCTGCGCTCATATTTCAGCTGAGACTCACGGTCGCATGCCGTGACTCGAGTAGAGAAGATCATCCTTAACATGATCGACTGGTGATTGCATGCTAGACACAGATTTACAAATGTGCATGTACAATGATGTCACGTGCTGAGCTGAACAAAGCGTAGCTCATTTACTAATTTGTCATCAGGACACACGGTATGCTATCGATCCTCGATTGCGACCATTATCGATGTCCAGCGGGCTTAATGAGTGTGACACATGTGCCGTGCCCTCTCCTTGAGTAACGCTGCTGTCGTCCTGCAAATGACTTTACCCGATGTCGCCGGACAACTGACAACCGTGTTGGTAAGGAGACCAGGTGAGTGCTTGGCGGCCACCACGGGATCGAATGTTAGGCTGTAGCATACTGTTTGGACCGCTACCGGCCTTTACCGATCTGCTACATGGTTTTCTGACGACGGCTGTGCTGAACCTGCGATGTTACGTTCCGTGAGGTGTTGCTAAAGTTCCTGTACACATATCCTCCATTTTCTGCTCTACCTGAGACCTTAACAGGATTGAAGTTGTGGTGTGCATCGAATCGCTCACCTTAACGGAAGAAGATCGAGTTAACTTTGACTCAGCCTCCTCAGCCTTACAATCGGATACGTTCCTCAATTCCCACTAAACCTTCTTTCACCATGACATACTCCTTGTCTTCACCACGAATCGTGGTCCTGCACACTTCCTTGTCTCATCTAGTCTACACAAAAACACGATGCACGTGCGTGTCAATATTTCGCCATGTCGGACATGTTTCAATCGTTCCTGTAAACTCTGAGGCAGTCATCATCGAAGGGTTCTTCCAACTAAATCGCGCCCAATGGCTAAGATCAACTCTAGAGAGACGGTCACGAGTCGCTGTTTGACATTCATGGGTCCTTTCACACTATCGTTGAGCCAGTGCGATCATGGCGGCTGCATCTGCAGCTTCAACGAGTTGTCTTTGACGTGATTGACTGAACACTCCGTATTCGAAAAGTGTAACATGGCTCGTGTTTGTGCTAAATGTTCTTGTTCACGTCAAGCAATTCATCCCAGTCTTCCAGAATGACAATCATGAGTACAGACGTTTTACTGTCTGCATAACGCGGCCGACGGTACAATCTCGTACACACAAGCGAGACCAATTAGTGCTTCGCGATGTTTGAACATCGTCGATGACCCGGCACGACAATACTATCGTGAAGTATGTTCACATTTCTTGGCACCGTCTCATTGTCATTTCTGTATTTCCTGACAACAGACTCTACGGCTGCATCCCTCCGAGTACCGATCACACGGAAGCGATGTTTCCACATATTTTTTCCATGACCGATAAACAGGTGAACCTCCGCGACAGAAATATATGGCAAGAAGGATGACACATATGGCGTAAGGATGAACCATGCCTGTAGATTAAAAGGAATCGTGTCGATGGCATTTGCCCGACAAGGATGCAGAGAAAACAAGAACGACTTGCGGCTGGTAAAACATCGATGGTGGTCCTTCCTGGCGACTGCTTTTGTTAAATTACCGGGAACTGACAGGAGTTGAGCTAGACCGGTACATTGGTCGAGGGGTTATGTAACGGTCACTCGTGCACAACCATAAACTTGACGCTAGGTAAGGGTAGTCGAAGTTAAGGGACAGCTAGTGTCGTCACAATATGACTTCCATTCGGGTGCACGACCTAAACTGCGTACGAATAAGCCCCAAAAATCCAAGCACTGCCTACGAAAGAGCCCCAAAAATCCCAGCACTGAAGCACCCCTTTGATAGTTCATATTGCCAACGTCGTTTGACATCAAAATATGTCGGCCACACTATTCACAACAACTCATCTCCTCCTCCCAATCCAATAGATTACATAAAATACAGACGCTATTTCAGGTAAATTACGCCAGCTGACAAGAACGGGCTCAAAACCGTGCACGTCTCAGACATTTGACCGACCGACCGACCACGTGCTCGATTGCTCAATCCATGGAGGGCGATTACTCGCACTGCGACCTGTCGGAGCCGGATTTTGAGGGCGAACTGACCAAGCGCAGCGTGTGGCTCAAGGAGTGGCGCAAGCGCTACTTCGTGCTCAAAGGCAACAAGCTCTACTTCTGTCGCGCCCAGGGGGAGCCCGCCCACGGTCTCATTGACCTGGCAGACTGCTTAACGGTCAAATCGGCCGAAGAGAAGACGAACAAGCGCTTCTGCTTTGAGGTGGCGACGCCTGGTTCCACTTTCTACATGTACGCAGAGGACGAGCAGCACAAGGACGAGTGGATTGGCGCGATTGGTCGTGCGATTGTCAAGTTCTCGAGTTCGTTCACGGGCGACCAGGACGACGACACGAATTAGAAGTCGAAATAAACGGACCGTAAGTGGTGCACTGAGAAGGTGATGGGAGGGGCGACATCCTGCATCGTTTGATTCTACAAACGATGTGTGCAGTGTGTGTGTGCCACACGAGATTTGGTTTGTCCACGGGGGTGGAAAGTCCTACTCCAGGACGAAATGAATATTTACAGCTTACGTACAGAAAAATTGCAAAATGCAGAAATACATGGTACAATTGACCGCTGCTTTGTGCGCAAAAGTGCTGCAACTCAAGCTTTTCAAGTAGTACCTCGCTGACTTTATTTTTCAGACAGCACCTTGAAAAGACTGGGCACCACCTCCATACGCCATGGACCGCCCTCCAGCACCTCGCCATCAATGTTCATGCAGTCTTCTGGCTGGTCAGGCTCAATCTCCACGGCCTTGACCTTCAAGTACGATACGAGGTCGCTCTGGAGCTCCTTGCCCATGAGGTATAGACCAGCAAGTTTCGCTGTACGTCCCATCCCTCCTTTGCGAGTAACAATGAGGTCCATGCTGCCATCCGAAGGGTGCGAGTACGCGCCGTCAGGCGAAATGTTCACGACGCCCACCACAACGTAATTGTCGCGGTCCTCTTTCCACAACACCTCCGGGTACCGCTTACGACTTGCCGGGCTCATGATGCTACCAGCAGTGCCCGCCCACGACTTGCGTTGGGTGCTGAAACGGTCCATATCGTACACAGTACCTTCCTCCACTTCAAACTGGTCCAACGCACCAGCATCCGGGTAGTCGTCGTAACGAATGAGCGGCGGATGTGGCTCGGTCAACACGTACCGGACTCGACCAGTGTGCTTCTTGGGCAAAACCAACGTGCGCTTCACCTTCAAAAAAGCATATCGAAGGATACCCATCCAACGATAACGTTCCGACTCGGCCGCGATGTCGCCTGCCACGCCCCAGCCAAGGCCGCAGTAGCTGTAGTGCACCACACTAGGATTAGCAGCAGACACCGCTGTCACGACATCCAATGGGCGCATTTTGCGCTTCATGATACAGTACAGCGCTGCATTTACTGTCGGAATACCAGCTCCCGTGCCAAAAGCATTCTGCGTCCCTGCCGAAATCAACGAAATCGGCGTCGAAGCCACAATTTCACGCCATTCATGCTCCGGACGAGTCAGCAGTCCGTTCATAAACTCACACAGAGTACCGTCTCCTCCGATAAACACAAGAGCCTCAAAGCCATCCTCATCCGAGTAGTTCCTCCCCATTTCAGCTGCATGACCCGAATGCGTCGTGTTTTCCACCACACAGTCAAACTTGGCCAAATCCAAAAACGGCTTGACCTTCTCTTTCCATATCTGTTGCGCTTGTTGCCTCCCTGAGTGTGGGTTCACCACAACCTTCAGCAGCCGTTTCTCAGCCAAAGGTGGTGCACGCGCTTGCCAGCGCACAAGTTCCTGAATCGCAGCAACCCAGCTGTCCATCACCGCTAGCTCGAGACCATGAAAGTCCACGTACCGTGGTGTGCGAAGCAGCGCCTTGGCTCCAGTCCCGCGCCCCTTTTTGAAATAGTGCACACGGAACGTGCGCGCTTTCTTCTTTGCGATGACCTCGGCGCCCACGACATCATCCGTCGAGAGCTCACCCAGCACCTTACTCCCTCGTGACCACATGATGGTATCCGGGTCGAATTTCAACCTGCACTTGCGTGGCGAGCGTCCAACCTTCGCGACTGTCGTGAGTTCCGTATCCAGCGGTGCTTCTCGTCGTGAAAAGGCCGTGACCCGTCGAATACTCTCTCGTAAACTGCTGCCCACCACCTCGTGCGGGTTTTCAAACGTCACGTCGCCAATCGACGTCGAGCGCAAACTAAACGCCGTCTTGGCCAGTTCCCGCGCGGATTCCCGCGACAGCTGCTGCACGTACGTCTGGCTGCGTTTCGCCAGTCCCGCTCGACTGCCATCTTTGCCAGCGCTCCGCGTATGCGGGGACAATGGCGGCAGCTGCAAGTGACGCTGCACAAATTGCTGGTAACTCCGTCCGTCGTCGGGTTTCGGCAGCTGCGCCAGCCCAGGCAGCGACGCGCCACTAGCCTCGACGTGGTCCATCCCTTCAGGTGTCTTAGGCGTTGCTAGTCCCGACTCACTGGCGTGTAAATGGACGTAGCGAGGGGACAAAACGTTGGACGAGCGCGACGAGGCGTGCGAAACCTCTTCAAAGTGGACGAAACTGCCCATACCTCGGACACTAGGAGGCGTACGGAGACCGTCGTTGAAGGACGCGCGAGCTTCGAGGGGTGTGGAGATGGAAGGTGCATCGGGGACGAGCGTCGAGGCGTTGGGGCGAGAGGGAGTCGACGACGGCATGGCGGACGACGCTCCAGCCTGCTCTGGTTCCGGTCGACGTCGAAAAGTTGTGAATGAGCTCGGGTTGGACAATGTGATTGGCTGTTAATTGTGAGCGGCGAGCAGATGGGTACAGGAGGGAGGGAGCAGGTGGGTTCAACGGGGGGTCGGGGAGAACGACGGCGTGTGAACTGACTTGATTGGGTCGAACTTCAAGAGCCCAACTTTGACGGAATCGTCGAGCGTAGGTTGATTACGGTGTTTCCATGGATGGGGAAGACGGTGTAACTAGATGGGCGTATTCTAAAATAGGGGTGGACGTGGTTGTTTCACTAGGACGGTGAAGTTGATGAGGTAATCATGACGACTTTCTTTTTTTGAAACACTCGATAAAGATGGTGAATGTGCCAGAATTTAGACCGAGCGTGGCGAGGAATATGGAGATCGTAGATGTATGTATACCTGGAGATGGGGTGCCTACCGCGTGGATATGTAAGTTTTGCATCGACACTTAGATTAGAGAAACGAGATCGAAGGCCGGAGCATGCTGGCGCAGTCATCAGTGCGTGGGGATGCCAATGATTTGGTGTGATCCAGTTCGCACATTGAACAGTTGGTTTGTTGACGACATCCGTGAACTGGTTGGTGTTTAGGTTCGCCTATTCGTCGTCTCGTTGAAGTGACGTCCCCCAACTGGAAAGTCTTTCACCAGGTCCCCGAGTTTTCGGCATGTGCCGAAACTAAATAAAATAAGCTATATCAGACACTTCTTCATTCTCAGTTTCGACAAGTGCCAAAAAGTGTTGCTTAAAACTAGTCAAAACCACTTGTCAGTGTGCTGTGTTGTATTTGTAGTATCACTGCATGAACCGCGAAAACAATGCAAACTTCTTGCACAGGAAGATCCCCTCGAGGGACAGGTCCGTCATTGACGAGCGAAACTCATCTTGATTCCATTATAGAGCGGAAAAGTCTTGTTCCACCGATGTCGTGTTTGCAGCTCACCAATAGCTCTCTCTTAGTCAATCAGAACTACATATCAGTAAACTGCTCAAGCTTGGAGAAATGGTCAACTTATAAGGTAAATCACCGTTTTTACCATTGATACTGCGAAAATGGTTGCAACACATCAATCTGAAAAGGTAGGAGGATGTTGAGAACGGTGCCACCTACAGTTTACATCGTTCAGTTAAATGGCGGGCTGAAGCTGCCAACTTTTGCAACAACACAGGGCAGTAGTAATTTGTGTCGTCGCTCATTTTGTGTTTAAATGGTCTGAGATTGGATAGACCGAACGTCCTGACATATGGACTTCGGTGTATCTACTCCTTGGAAGACTGCATCTGCTCATGAAGGCTCACTGCTAGGCTGTCAGTTGCCATAGGCCATGAATAACACTTGAACGCGTTTGTCTCAACCTTTCGGATTACCGTGCGCCTGTTGGCTGTTTTTCAGTTCTTACTAACATTGAGGTCATTAAAACAGGGTTATGACGATGGTGTTGGGTTTGTCAGTGGTATTTACTCCAACGCAGCTCTTAGATGAAGCTCAATAATTTCAAGCGACAACTCAACCACGCCATCCTACGAAAGGACAGAAACCCACTACAGATCAGAGTCGACAATGTATTATTTAAATACATTGTCGACTTTGATCTGAAGTGGGATTCTGCCAAGGATTAATTCGTCCTTCTCACATTACACGTGCACAGAGGCTGCGTCTGTTGAGAGAAACCGAGGCGTCCTCATTCTACGCGCAAGTTCCCACAGCTTGAAACAACAAAATCGAGTTTACAAAATACTGCCTCTTCACTCGTGCCCTCTTCCTCTCACGTTCAGCCGGAGTCCTAGCCAGCACTTTTTCGACCGCCGGGCATACACTGGAACCATTCACGACTGCAACGTATCCCTCAACACCTTTCAAGTAAAACTTTCCCTTGAACTGACCACCGAGATTCTGCCGCGGATGCGCTTGGCGCTTCACTGTAATAAGCACACGAGACGCGGGAGTCAAGAGCTCGTTCATCGAAGGCAGATTTGTCGACACAATGAGACCACCACTAGCGCGTGCCTGCAATGACCGAAACCCTCCATTTTGCTCGAGCAACATGAAAAAAAGGCGATTCGGCAATCAACTTGCCAAGCGTATCAGTAAGAGCAGCGCGACCTTGATGAACCGTCACCACCTGCGATTCTCGGGTTTTGCTTTGGCCTTCAACCTTTGGTTGTAGACACTCTCGTCCATGTACACATCCAAGGATGGAAAGTCAGGGCGACTGATCCAGCAATCCAACACAGCATTGGTTCGCCTCTGTACGTTAGTACCGGCAATGTGGATGAAATGCACATCCGACCAGTCCTTTGGCTTCATTTGATCTTCCCCAAGACGAGCCCTCGCCAGCTTTACCACATCCGACGTCGTGTGCCTTGTGTAAAGCACTTTCGTATGACGCAGGTTGCCCCCTGTCGATACCACATGCGTACATAACGAGCACAAATGGCAGTCTTGCAAAGCACGACGTCGACAGCCCAATAGTGTTCAGCCCTCATCTCATACTTGTCAATGTCCGGCATGAGATACGCCGGCTTTGTCGTAGGCCAATCCGGCGGACACCAGTAAGCAATCCTAATGGTGACCGAAAAGAGCATGGGTGTCTTTGGACACAAGTCGTGGTACGAAAAAGTCTCGTTCGTTGCGTTGTCCACGTACTTCATTGTGATTGCCCACGTCGGCAAAATACGCTACTCTAGAACTACACGTCCCGCAAACAATAAAATAAGTCGATGACCTCAAGCTCTCTACCGATCTGCACTGGATCAGTACAGCGGCAGCTTACATTTCGTATAGACAGTCGAGTCTTCGCAGTAGCCATGGTTTAAGAACCTCGCGGGCATATAGACGTCTACATCTGGACACTGACGCATTTTTCCAAGCAACTGAGCATCATCCTTGCTATAAACGTCACGACTGGAGTTTGACGCCTCGCCATCTCATCCGTCCTTCCACGTTACGGCGCTATTTAAAATTTGAGGCACTCTTCTTGTAAATAAACCGAGGTGTACCACATCCACTGATTCAATGTCGTCTCCCCATTCGGCTGAAGCATTTCATCCAGATAAATTCGGCCGCCTCTTCCATCTTGGCGTTCAGATACTCCACCGGCGCATTTTGCTGCTCTTGCTGAGCATGCTCGGATCCGACAACACCAGCAAGGATCCTGCGCCTATTGCACCCAGCACCATCCTAATATACAAGGGCAGGCGGCAACGTCGTCTGCTTTGCGCAGGGGAAGCGTCATGGGACTTGGTCTTCTCGTTCATTTAGTTTAACAGGGCTACAAAATAACGACAATGGGACTGTCCAAATCAACTCGCCTCAGTGGACACTATTTTTTTTGGGACAGTCACATTGTTGACATTTTAGCTTCGTGCCGGGTTGTGGTGCCGGGTTTTGATGCATTTCAACAGAAGATTATGGACGGTGCGGTCATTTCGAGCTGAGACTGTCTATAATGGTCGAAAAACAAGAACGAGATCTAACCGCATAAAATGGCGCAGACGATGAGATTTTAACGAGCTTCATTCTCCATTGAGCTCAAAAACCGACTGTCCAGAAGCAGCGTGCACTTAAAGTAATCTGCACTTGACAAACACGTAATAAGCAGGTAGCGGCGATTGAGTGGTTCCCAAAAGTGAAGGGTTTGTAACATGGGGAGGAAATTGTTAGATTCGATCCCTTTTGGATTGAGTTTATTCCATATTTCTTTCATTAAGTAGACACTTGTAGCAAAAAGTTGAGATGGCTAAAAATAAGGAAGCTGATTACAAATCCTGCCCTTATTTCCCTCGCCCTAAGTAAACATCGTACATAAGCCACAAAAGCAGCTCTTTGGTCCTCTTTAAATGGCCTTCATAGGGTCCACAACAGCCCGATCGTAAAAATCACTTTATGTATAACATGCTATTTAGTAATGACAAACATAAGCCGGGACAACACGGTGGAGAACAGCATTCTAGAGCAACTTTTTGCCAAACTGGACTCGAGACGTCGAACGCCGAGCATACGGCTCGATACGTGCATGGGGAAAAGCTCAAGCAGAATATATGTTAGAAACGATCATGTTTGACAGGATCGATGTTCAAGGGATATACCATGTGACGGTCTCATCTGATTGGCCAGTGATATTATTAGGTAACAAGTGGGACCACGAGGAGACGATCGGACAGATGGGACAGGAAGAGACAGAGCGAAGATGTGACAGATGGGATGGCGAGGTGACAACTTGACGGTTGGGACTAGGCGATACCGTTGCAATATGTGACCGACGTACGAGATATGCAGGAAATACTGATACCATCAGGGAGGTACGTGGCCAAGTTGCAGTGCAGTTGCGGTGCATGTTGTAGCATTGACGAAGGAGAATAGTTGATGCTAAATATAGTTTACTTTTACTTCTAACTGCCTCTGCACAAGTGCACAGCAATCATCTTAAACTAACAGGTTATGAGCCCAAAAAAGCGCGATACCGGTGCAGCTTACCAAGATGGACCTGTGGTGGTAACCGACGGTCCCAACAAGACCGACTACCATCACCTAGAAGAAAAGTAGGCAGCGCCGGTAGGGGCGATAAATCAGATGCTGGCTATGCCCGGGGATCTATCCGATCGGATGAATCGAACAGAGGTCGCCCGGACGGAACAAGCCAGCAAGGACCAAAAGGGGTCACCGGTGTCAATTTTCGGCTCGGCGTTGAAAATGGGATCGGGGATGAGCCTTCAGGCTCTGAAACATACCCCTCCTCCCAAGAAGTCCCCAAACGTGTCACCAGCGACGTACTTCATGGCAAGGCGTCAAGCGAATGTTGGTCGACGACCGGCAGACCATGTTGCATTAGATCTCAACATGGGGCCGTGTCCTGAACCCGTACACCACAGACAGGAAGCGCATGCGGGGTACATTCCCGGGTGGAGGTATTCCAAACAGGATGTACGGCCATCCTGGATTACAAGTAGCGGGCATGCCGGACGCGCAACATCGAAAGTTGGCGCTGCAACCCCTTTGACGGCAAGGGACTCTACCACGGACTTGGTAGTGGGTTCCTAGAATGGGGCAAGGAATTTGTGCGTCAATTCGGGTTAGCGGAGCGTGCGTGTGGGTTCGCATGGCCGGAGGACATCAAGGTTGATGTGCTGGGGCAACATCTGGTAGGCAAAGTGCAAACGTACTATCGCCGACAGGTAGAGACTTGGTGGGGTGAAAGTCAAACCTCGGAGCATGCTATGCAAAGGTTACTGCAGACCTTCAACACCAAGATCTCACCTGTTCACAAAGAAGTTGTTCACGGCGCCGAAGGCAAGTCACAGAATCTGGACGGACCATTTTTTGTACTTGACGGCCGTCAGCGATGCATGCGGTGGTGCGGACAGCCTAGTGCTCGACAATATTTTCCATTATGCAGACCCGCACATGCATATGACAAATTGGATATACATCGGACCGACCCCCTACGTCAGGCTGAAGAGCTGGCGCATTTCGCGCAGTCGACAGAGGTCGAAACTCACGCAAAAAACCTGGGGCGGTATGTGGTCAACGCTGTCGAATTAATGAAAGAACCTAAGGACAAGACCAAGGCGAAGTCGAAGTCTACCTTTACGGAAGGTGACGAGCGCACGTGTTACAAGTGTGGCGAAGTCGGGCACATCAGATCGAGGTGCCCCCACTCCAAGAAGAAGTCTACAAGAAATGACTTTACTTTTGCGATTAAAAGTTGTTGTGGTCTGGAAGATGACCATTGAATTCTCGACAGTTGATCTAGCAGACACTTGGTCAACGACCTGAGTCTGCTGGTGGATCCAGAGGACTGCCACAGCGAATGCTTGACGGCTGCCACTGATGGAGGTGCATTACGCGTGACGAAACGTGGATGTGTTACCATTGAAGTTGTTGCACTTGGAGGCGTGAACACCATACGACTCCTCGATGTACAGTACGCCGCCAACCTAGAGCGTAATATCATTTCGTATGGTAAGCTTGAGGCTAAAGGATGCGTACTCGAATATCGAGGAGGAAGGCGTGTGTTGACCTCTGGGGTCGGAGGCGCACCGGTGATGGATGTTGATTGCGACAACAATGTGCTGGTTGTCAAGGTGATGGGAGGCAACAACAAACCCTCAAGCACATCACAAGAAGCGATGATGGCTGTAATCAATTCGCCTGAATATGAATCCGACTCGGATGTTCCGAGTGGTTACTTGATGCACTTTCTCGCTGGTTGGGTCACCCATGTTTTGACTTGATCATCGAGATGGCCAAAGACCCGGCGTCGGGCATCAAGTTGACTAACACGACTCGCATAAATTGCCTGGCGTGCGCCCACGGAAACAAGTCAAGGGAAAGCAGTCGAAGAAAGACACGGGCAATAACTCATTTATCGATGTGATAGGTGGAGTGATTTGCTCCAATCTCAAAGGTCCGATGACCCCGCGAGATCGGCTGGGCAACCGTTACCTGGTCAATTTCATTGATCACCGGTCAAACTATTGCCGCGTGTTTTTGGCTAAGTTGAAGGATGTTGCTGCGCTCAAGTTTAATCACTTTCTTGTAAGCTTTGAAGGTGAGTTCAATTGCAGGATTCATGTGCTACGCACCGACGGTGGTGGTGAATATAAGACATTGGAAATGTTTTGCAAGGCTACAGGCGTATCGCGTCAAGTGAGTGAGGCTAGGAATCAATCCAGAAACGGTAACGATGAGCGCATGCATCGTACCATTATGAAAATGGTACGAAGCATGGTGTTTGCTTGAAACCTACCTCTGTCCTTTTGGGGCGATGCTGCTGAATATGCGGCTTGCATCCTTAACAGGAGTCGAACCAAGTCAAATCCTGGTGGAGAATCACCCATGGAGTTTTTGACGAAGAAGTTGCCCACGCTGAACGACATCGTGGTGTTCGGTTCAACGTGCACGGTCCATGTTGACACCAGAAATAAGTCACTTGGTGAGCGCGGTAAGGCGGCCATAATCACTGGCAAAAGTGACCAGACGAAGGGGTACAAGGTGCACATCCCGAGGGACAAGGTGGTTGTGGTGAAGAAACATGTGCAAAACATTGAAATACTGACGGACGAACAGAATGGGCAGTTGAAGTCCCACTTGGAGAAGATCGACCGTCAGGAGGAGACCCTTACTGATAGTCAAAGAAATGTTCAGGCGCAAGCAGGTGGCAAGAAATGACTTACAAAGAGCCGTAACTCCGGAAGGTCAACATGGACAAGAGATCGACATGGCACAAGGTCGACAATCAAGCAACAAGCAAAAGAGATTGCTATTGAAGGACATGTTGAGCAGCAAGATATGGTGAACGCAGCTGTGGTGCAAGACCCGAAGCACTATGGGGAGACAGTCAAGAGCGACCATCGAGAGCAGTAAAAAAATTGCTATGACCGAAGAACTGGACGCTTTGAAGTCGTACGACGTTTGGACGTTTGTGGTACCAACTACAGGCGCACACGTCTTGCATAACAAGTGGGTGTACAAGACCAAGATTGACGCGAATGGGTAATTTGAGCGGTGTAAGGCTCGTTTGGTTGTTTGTGATAACGAACAAGTCTTTGGAGTGGATTATACCCTAACGTTCGCGGCCGTCATAGAATCAGGAACGGTGAAGTTGATCCTGGTGCTTTCAAGACGATGGAACGTACCTGCACGCCATGGTGACGTACCAAATGCGTACGTCAAGGCGGGAACGGAGGAGAACTTGGACATCTACGTAAAAGTGCCAAAGGGGATGAGTCTAGGCGAAAAGGAGCTCGAAAGTCTGGGAGTCAAGACTTCAAGCGATTTGGTGCTACTGCTGAAAAAGTCATTGTATGTACTTAAGCAGGCTGGGCGTTTCGAAAGCAAACTACTTGACTCCAAGATGCGACAAAGTGGATTTCAGCGATTCATGACGGACATGTGCTTGTAGTACAAGTACAAAGGCAAGACATGTACAGCGGTCGGTGTCTATGTAGATGACCTTTTGGTCACAGGCACCGAGCAAAGCGCTGTAGACAAGTTTTTCGCTGAGATAAGCTCATTGTCTATCAAGGACCTGGGGGTTATAAACAAGTTCCTGAGATTACGAATTCAACTGGACGGGTCGAATGGTTACGTACTGGATCGAGAGGTCACGATCGACCTGTTGCTCAAGGAGTTCGGTATGGAGTCAGCGAATGGAGTGCAGAATCCTATTGGAGACGAGTTCAATGTAAATGACGAAGATGATCTGGACTAATTACCTACTAGGAGCACAAAGTGTGATTCAAGCGTAAAGACGTTCCAGTCGCTAATGGGAAGATTGCTATGGATTGCAAGGTGCACGCGTCCAGGCATTTGCTTCGCAGTGCACAAAGCCACGAGACAGACACACAAGCCAACTTCCAAGGGCTGGAAAACAGCCAAGCGTATCTTGAGATACTTGAAGATGTCGAAGGGTCTGAAGTTTCATCTAAATGGTGTTGGACCAACGACAGAGGATGTCCGAATCGAGTGTTGGAGCGATGCAAATTTTACTGCAGACAAGGCCGACGGAAGTCAGTGTCGGGATGTGTACTAACGATGGATAGTGCTATTGTTCTGTGGTCATGCAAGAAACAATCAGGAGTGTCGTTGAGTACGATGGAGGCCGAGTTCATCTCAGCGTCGCAGGCAGGACGTGAGCTACTAGGCACGAAGGAATTGCTGAACGAGCTAAAGTTGCGTGTGCGCGAGCCTATGCCGATGTGGATCGACAATCAAGCCACCATCAAGCAGCTTGAATCGAAAAAAAGACTACTTTGAGCGCCAAGCACGTGGATATACGGTTCGAGTTTATCTGTCATCATGCGCAAGCAGGTATGGTGGTGCCAAGATTTATAAAGTCGGAGAACATGATGGCGGACATACTGACCAAGGCCCTGCCCGCGCCAAGAATGGAAGAATTGAAAATGATGTTCAAGTTGAAGGCCGGTCAGATTGACACCGAGGAGGACTGTTAGAAACGATCATGTTTGACAGGTTCGAGGTTCAAGGGATATACCAGGTGACATGTGGGATCACGAGGAGACGATCGGACAGATGGGACAGGAAGAGACAGAGCGAAGATGTGACAGATGGGATGGCGAGGTGACAACTTGACGGTTGGGACTAGGCGATACCGTTGCAATAGTGACCGACGTACGAGATATGCAGGAAAGACTGATACCATCAGGGAGCAGTGCAGTTGCGGTGCATGTTGTAGCATTGACGAAGGAGAATAGTTAATGCTAAATATAGTTTACTTTTACTTCTAACTACCTCTGCACAAGTGCACAGCAAGCATCTTAAACTAACAATATCGACTACCAGACGGACACGAAGCCGTGTCGATGGGTTCGTGACCGACTGTTCTACTGCGTCCGTATGCCGTGAAGTAATACCTACGACGAGCTGTACCAACAAATTAAGTTGCTTAATACACATTCATAAAAGCACTTTTCTTACATCGATTTTTTCGTATTGATGATGTATAGCGCATGCAAACCGAATGGAACAGTTTTACCAGGACGGCCAAAAAAACCGGTGCAAGTTCACGCCACCGAACATGTACCTGTGCTTTCGATCTAGTGTGATGGAGGAATAAGAGCGGCAGCAATATTCCACGACAATGCTACTAGATGCGTCCAAAAGTCCCACGTTACGGACGCGTGAGAGTCAAAACAGTCGCCTGGCTGGTAGATGGACCTGATGGAACCAATGGACGCTGCAAATCCATATGCTTATTCACTTACTCACTAGCTTGCTTGACAACTTACATTTAGGTCCTCGGCTTGTTCCTCGCTTGTGTAGCTCTCCAGAGGACCTATTTTGTGCTAGTTTTTGTTACGGTGAGCGATGGACCCAAATCTGGATCGCATGCACGGCGTATTTACCCATCTTCCTTGTGAACGAGGACAAACTGGTGCCTAGATGAGACTAGCAATTTCGGAATAGACGTCCAACAGAATTTACATAAAAGTAAAGACAAGTATCGTCAGATGAAGAAGAAATGAGCGATTTTATTATACTATGCATATGGGAGGATCACGTGCACTGACAAGCGACACGGCGCTTTAGAACTAGAGGGGGCAGCAGAAGTGGTTAAGGAAGGCGCAAAGATGACGATTAGTATAGTACACGTAGTACATGGCGACTAGGGCCACTGGCGATTTTGGCGACGCGTTCATACTGTCATTTTTGTGTATTGTACACAATATTTATGTAAAACGGGAAATTAGGGGCGGTAATGTAAATAGCTTTAACATTAAGTGCGAAATATACCGTTTTATTGTGATATCCTTGCAAGTCATTCATTTTAAGACCGTACTACATGACGCCCGGTGGCCTGGCGGCTCACCGATTGTCATTGAATCAAGACTTGGCGATACCATGGTGAGGTGAGATGGCGGCGTCGCAAAAGTCTCTTGCGCATACTATTAGCCTGAATTTGTCAGTTTTATAGATAAGAAAGCGTCTTACGTCCGTAGTAGTATACTATTTACATATATTTCATTGATCTGTAGGGTACTGTATTGTGATCTTAAAAATAGATGGAATTTCAAGATCACAATACAGTACCCTTCAGATCAAACATTCCTACAGAATTTAAAAAGGCATGTCAGTCACGCGCAGCTTCGAATGGCATTCAACGAATAAGAATAAGATCATCATTATACCAAGAGAGATGGAAGGTAAAAGGGGGGAACGAAGAAGGCGCAAAGATAGAAATGATAACGATAAAGACGATAAAGGGCATTTATGCAATTTTCTGAATCAAAAGAAACAACGATACAGGTGTCAAAGAGATGAACAAAAGGAGGCCGTAGAGAATAATTCTAAAGTTTAGTATCGTGCGGCTGTTTCTATAATTCGCTAATATCCTATATACCGTACGATACTGCACTTTTCTATTTTTCTTCTCATCGACAAATGTCATGATTGAAACGATAAAAACGTGCGTTTACGTGAAAAGACTCTCGCTCGTAGCTCATTCATACACATTCTATTTATATATTTATAACGCGCTAAACCTCCACAGAAATTATGAGCCGCTGTAGTATCTACCTCGATCTCAACAAAAACGCTGAGCGCTTGTTGCTCTTAGGAGCAATTTTGGTCGATTCGAGAATTGTTCGTCATCACACGGGTGAGCAGACCAAAAAAAAGTGCGATTTTTGCGAATGTTCTCCATCCTATGATTGTTTTCTTGCTCCTGCCCGAGATTTTGTTTAACGTCCGTTGATATCCTATGTCAAAGCTGTGTAGTGAGTATCTCTGGCAGATACACCTGCTTCTGTTTCCGATGGAATATAAGTGCATGTTAGGCGGCATGTGAGTGGTTGAGATCGTGAGTATCTACTAGACCTGCAGCGGCTACACATTAACGTTATCTCAGGCGAAAGCAGTAGCTCACAAAAAGCCTCGATACTTTTCACAGTGCCGTCACGTATGGGAGATGCATGCCATCGTGACCAGTGTAATAGCGTCTTGAACGCAGTCTACTACGTACTATTGGGATGCGGCTTGTGTCCTGCTAGTCCACAATATTACTTCTAAGTGATTTACACAAGTTACTTAAGTGATTTACACAAGTTGCCGAATTTACTGAGCGCATAATGGATGCAGCTATTCGTCACGTCCTGTAACAGAAACTGAAGCAGATCAATATACTTTGCAGGCATGTTGTTATTGACAATCCTGGCCACCCGGGGGTTCTCGTTGTTTTTTCATAGTCCGTTAAATATCCCAGACATGCATACCAAACCGCACAAAGCTCAAGTCTTTGTCGGATGGTACACTGCGCCTAAAATGCAGTACTAAATTAGCCGCCACTTCAGTGCTATAGGTACGACAGCACAGCCTCGCCCCAAATTTGAGTAAAAAGTACCAGGAGGGTATCATCTGACCATAGATTTTCATCCGTCTATTTTGGGTGTGCACGGGAAGCTAAACATTCACCTCTATTACTTTTTGGACCGGACTCGCTGCGATTTATGTGTTTTAATTGAATTCATGTCTATTTACTCAAAGACGGATGATTTTGACACATTTCGTGTGCTTTGTTTAAATTTCGAGTTTCAAGTATTCAAATTTCCATACACATAATATAGTTTGTGTGCTTGTACGTAGATGATCTAAAATCAGCACACGTGATGACTTTGCAGCACTTTTGATGAAGACTTCAAGGTCGATATAGTTAGGCGTGCAGTACGTATCAAAAACATTCTTCATCGTAGCGTCTAGCGATGTCATTAAGAACATGGAATATGTTCGGCTTCACGGTAGCACCTATTTACGAGAGCGACTCGTTTTTACGAGTACGATTTCGTACAAAAGGAATTACTGATGATTGGCTTACTGAGATAGAAGAGAGATTGGTGGAGCTCACCCTTTGACATTAGTAATCGTGCTCATAAAATAAAGTCGAGTTTTAAGTCGATAACTAGACCACTGGTATATTGCATAAGTTTATCTACGGACTAGGTAAAAAAACTACGTACATCGTAGATCATTCGTATATTGTATGAGTTTAGGTACGGACTAGGTAAAAAACCTACGTACATCGTGGAAATCCCTTGAATAAATGTAATATCCATCGTACTAAACCAGTATACCCTATTTAATTTGAAAATTAGGTGAGCCAATCACAGTGCAAAAAGAATGCATTACACTCTCCGCTCCTCACCCCACCACACCTCACATTCTTTGTTGTTAAGTTATTGTAATACATTGCATCTTTTAAAATTCTCCAAATGATTCTGAAAATTAGGTTTTAAAATAAATCTGATCTCAGAAATTCTTTTTCACCTTTCCTTTACAGTATTGTCCTAATTTGGCATTGTCCTCTTACCTAATACCTTCTTTAAGTTGTATCCTAAAGTCACACACGGCTAAAGGTGCGGCCCAGAAAAATCAACACATGAGAGCAAATGTTATCTGGTGATGGAGTACGGGATAAGGCAGAGATCGCGCTCTAAAATCTTGACGTTAAGGTTGAGCTTTTGCGTCTCCAAATTCGTATGATTTTACCTACGTTTTAAATGACTTCTACAAATACTGCGTAAATGCTTGTGCCACCGCTAACAGACACGGCCTTTGTGTACGTAGAGGCTGCAGAGGGAGAATTTGATTCTCATGCTCGTGTCCAAGAATATTCGAAGCAGCGATCGAGCTCGTAATCATTAAAGGGCATTGAAGTCGGTGCCGATGTAACTTGCGTGTGTCCATGGACTCAAGTGTGTACACAGTCGCGAATGTATGACAGATTCAAAACCAGGAAGCACAAAACCTTCACACCCAACAACGAACGCCCAGTTCTTGTCACCACTCCACTCTAAGTGCCTGATGCTGACTCACATATTCATGCACGAAGAGTCTCAATAGTTGATGGAAGTAGCAATAATGAAGCCTGTAAGGATGCCACAGTATTTGATTTCTTGTAAAGCTTTTAAGAGATCAGAAAGCAATCATTTCGGGCATGTCAAGAGTTGGAAGTGCACCACAAGCTATTCCTGCCATACTACGGAAGCAGGGTGAAGATTGTCGATCGATAATGATGGAAGTTTATAATCAAAAGGCGTTTCTCTGAATCCTTGAGCTTTACGGACGCACTCCAATTGAGCGGTTTCTCGATAACTCCCATGCAATCAATGGGGTGCATTCGTACGAGCGCAATCAAGGAGGCCAGCTTGCTCATCTTTTCTTAGTCCAACCAGTCATTTTCGGATGCATTTTGCTTCATGAGTGCGAAGACGGAAAATGATTATTCTTGGGCCCTCGGCTGGATGACTCGATTTTTTCCTTCGAATCATCAGCCTATTGTCATTGTTACATACTGATCTTGTTCTTTTGTGGTGTAATTCTGCAACTATTCCCCATAAAGGAGCACGTTTCATACACATGGCTTTATCCGAGAAACTTGCTTGCAAAGTGCCGAAGCACATTGGTCTTTGGAATGCTGGGATATTTTTATGATGGATTGGAAGTGTATGGCTGCAATATTGAAAAAGATGAACTCAATACTTATTGAACCACATTTAGCGTGCTCATTCTGCCAAAGCCTGCAAGTATGCGAAAACTGCGCGATTAGATCCACATTAACAGCCATAATTGCGGTGTGGACAAAACACCGTCTGCACTTCAACCATCTTTCCTCTGATTGGTTTGAGGGTGGCTACAGCGCATTTAAATAGTTCATAATTGTTTCTTCTTGAGACTTTGTTGATGTGGGTCACACAGACCAACCGTCTGTGTGACCCCGTTACACAGTCGGGATGGAATATCGCCTGCTGTCACTACTTTGCGCATCTGGCAGGTATGTAAAACTGATACTTGGCGATGATTCTACTCAGTCAATAACGGGAACAGCAAAACCTCTAACAGCAATATAGGAATTGTTGCGCATGATAAGTGATGCACCGACGCGAGTGGTAGTACATTTGTCCAGAATGAGGATCTCAGATGATGGTGGGGTAAGAACAACGGGTTGATGTGTCGTGTACAGATAAAGGTCATCTTCTAGCTTCCTTAGGTTGGTTTGCAACGCCAAAGCAGTTTCTTACGCACACTCGTGGTTTATTCATGCCCTTCTTTACGCGTACGTACTATAGGGGTTGAGAGGCCATGCCTGCGAATGGCTGTGTGGATCAATCGAACCTCGCTCATCTATTTTTGTAAATAATTTGCTGACAGAACGCTTTTGGTGGGTGGATCACCATTCCACTGCCCCTCTTGACATTGAAAGTGCGTGTGCATGCATGATGAAAGGATGCTGTCAATACTGCTGACAGGCACGCTTACCGTTTGCACAATTTTTGCGGCGCTTTTCGCAGAACCCCGAAAAATTGTCGACACATTGTCTGTATACACATTCGTTGAATGAAGTGATTGCAGCTGGACTAGATGTATAATGGCTCCCGCGCCATACGACGATCGGCGATTTTAAGCACTAGCGACTTTGGAAAATCTCTAGAGGTTACAGTGGAATTTGCTGATTTGCTGTAATAAGTACTTTGTCCTCAATAATTGATTCATAAACTACTGCATCTCAAGATTCCAATTTGATGCAATACCGGCGTTGGCGTTAACAACCCATGGAATGGTATTGTTGAAGCAGGGATTTGAGCAGCAGGGCTAGAAGTGCTTTTCAATTTGGCAAAGCTGTAGGACGGAAACGGTCTTCTCGTTCTTTTGTTCTCGTTGTATCTTTGTTTTCGTCTCGGAGCACGCTGACTTGTTTTGGCTCGCGCTTGCAGCAATTGTTGATAACGGCAACAAAGCGGCGATAGAGCTTCATTGTTCGGAGGCTAGCAGCGTGCTTGGCGTGTTGCTGCTCAAGAGAAAGAAACCCATGCTATACGAAAGATCTTGCTGAAGAACTGGTTATCATCATTGAGCGCCCTAGTAGTGTTGACTTGTGGTGGAGCCTTTCGGATACTCTTGGAAGGTGACAGACTCATAACGTGATGCAATTGTAGTAGCCTAAACCGATGTACGATGGGTATAAAGTTGCGTATAGATGCCATGCGTGTACCACGATCGGGCGATGTGATGCGAAGTGCAGTATCAAAGCTACAAGTTCCGACTCATTATTCAAGAGTGCCAAATTTGCCAGAACGAGTGGCAGGATGTATGAATGTCACATTGGTCTAGAGTGTAGACCGTTTGCCAGCGCCCTGTGATGTATTTCGTATACTTCACACACGCTGAAACAAAGAAACTTCTTCACGCTACTGATGCATCAGATTTCATGCAAACGTTACTCTCTTTGTACTGTGGACCGTTCAGATCTACTGCTCACCCGCGAGATTTACTTGGAGTTCTTCACGACAGAGTTAATCCACGGAAGAACTGACGACACACGCGCGTAGATAGCAGGAATCCCTTGCTTAACACCGCATCCATCGCTACCGGCAATCAAACCAATGAGCACGTCATTGCCGTCTACCGACGCGTCCCCCCTAATCACCGGACCTCCCATGTCGCCCACACAAGGAGATTGTCCCCGCTGGCCACCAGCACACACATGAGACATGCCGATAGTCGTCGACTTCAGAGCCTTGCGGCAAACGTCGTTGGGAATGATTTGCTGGTGCAGTTCCTTCAACTTCTCAGACGACATGGCATCAGCAGAAGCGGAAGTGAGACCCCATCCCATCGCTGTGACCCACATTCCAGACCTGATGTCGGCGCCACCTGGTGCTGGAAGCTGTACGGGCTTCTTGCTGCACTTCTTCTCGAGCGTCAGCACGGCAAAGTCGTTCGATAGAGTGTTGCGGTTGAACTGTGGGTGTTTCGTGACGCTTCTGACCTTGATCTCCTCGCCGTCTTCGCCACCATTAACGAAGTAGGCGCCAACAGACACAAAGTTTGCAGGTGCTGCTTCAGCGCATGACGCCGTCGTCAGCACGTGAGTAGAAGTGATCAGAACACCACCACAATGGCTGAAGTTGTCCTCAGACTTGGGATCCACTGTGGTACGGATACCAGCCACATACGTTCTTGCCTTCATAAGCTCATTGCCACCAATGATGCCAGCGACCGGTCCGATCAGAATCGACGATGAGAGAAGCGGCACGATGATCTTCATTGCTGGTAGCTTGTTCGAGCGAGGGTCGAAGGAAGATCAGTGCAGTACTTGGTCGAAGCCGTAATGACCACACTACATGCAGAAGGCAAAGTTGCAAACTTCACAACGCTGCATCAGCAGACATGTGTTCAGCCTTACCCAATACAGTCGTCAGATGAAATACTTGCTCTCGTTCGCTAATGCCGTGTATACCATACAAAAGATGCCACAGGCGGCACACAAGAAACATCCGTATGTAGCTCGCGAACACATGTTTATACAGAGCCAGCCGTCGAGCGTGGCGTGTCGGTGTCACATGACGATGGTGGTATTCGGACTCCATCCTCATGACTTTCTTATGTGTCCGAACTCTATCACCAGCGAGCGTTGTGTACGTATGGTATGGGCCAGAAGTTGTGATTCAGAAATGAGGCAACGTGTTGTAAATTCATGTTTAAACTACCACCACATCGCGGTCTTTGAGGTATGCAGTCTAGCATACCACACATTCAGTAAAATACCACAGACTTCAAGGGGACCCAGACTCATCTACAAGCGGGCAAGCCAGTGACTGACAACGTGCCCGCACATTCGAGTTGCGGCAGAGCCGCATATGCTATGCACGAAGCCGTAGCACCGACGACATTTCAGAAGCGGCCGTCTCTCGCTGCTATTCCCAGCTATAGAAAGGGCGGACTGTCGTTTTAGAATGAGCAAATCTCATTATCAGGACCACAAATGTCCAAAAGTCCCAAAACCAGGACTATAGTTTAATCAAGTTTAAATTGTTTTTTTTATACTTGGGTTGAGTATGCAAACTAGCATAGTGTTAGCCACATTACACTCAACTGCAACATGGGATAAGAAACTGCCTGATCACTAATGAGTCTATCCATTTTTTAGACAACTGTCGCGAGTGGTCAAAAACGCTCTTTTTTACCAACGTTCGTTTACTTCTCAATTTGCGCCCACGAGCCGATGTGCCCATTTTGGTTTGGGTACATTGCGTGCGAGCGAGGGCCCGGTCACATGCACCCGACGAGCTCGTGACCGGGTGACTCAATTATTACACCTTGCACTGTCGATTTTAATTAAATCAGTAATTTTTTATGTTCGCGGTTGCAGCAACGCCAGTTCATAAGGTTTTACAAAAGGTCAGGTCAGTGGTACCGTGATTAGTGTTAATTTCGATTGCTGCAGTCACTCGAGACATCTCAAACACTTCTTTCAGTCCACTTCTTGCGCTTACGCATAAACGCTCAAACTAACCATTTAAACAGTATGAGGTAGTGAACATTTTTTTAATGATTATTGCTTTTAAGACCAGTACTAATTTCTATATATATACATAACGCATGTATTACACTTGTCTTGATATTACGCCCGAGTCAGTCAAACAATTTCCTGGCACTGCAACATTTCCCACGGACATAGCACACAATCGTTAGCAGGACACTCGACATTACTTGAAAAACCACTCGACGCCGCTCTATATCACCGGACGCCACTTTACATCACTGGACATTACTCGACATCACTTGATATCACTCGACATCACTTGAAACGCACTGCAACACATACATACAGACAAAGCATACGATCGTCAGACAGCAAAGTCGACATCGACAGCATAATTACCTGCTACCGCTGCTCATGAGAGTTAATACAATAACGGAGTTTACCAGTCACGAGCTCGTCGGGTGCATGTGACCGGGCCCTGGCTCGCACGCAATGTGCCCAAACCAAAATGGGCACATCGGCTCGTGGGCGCAAATTGAGAAGTAAACGAACGTTGGTAAAAAAAAGAGCGTTTTTTTACCACTCGCGACAGTTGTCTAAAAAATGGATAGACTCATTAGTAATCAGGCAGTTTCTTATCCCATGTTGCAGTTGAGTGTAATGTGGCTAACACTATGCTAGTTTGCATACTCAACCCAAGTATAAAAAAACAATTTAAACTTGATTAAACTATAGTCCTGGTTTTGGGACTTTTGGACATTTGTGGTCCTGATATTGAGATTTGCTCTTATAGAATCGCATGTGCATAGGGAGTCACGTCGGCGTCTATGCTCCATCCTGTCGAGTACAAAAACAATGAACGATGTGACGCATCGACCATTTTGACAGCATCCTATCATTTGAATTAGATGTGGCTCCTGTGAAGACTTTTCCCACGAATCTAGCTGCCGAAACAGCTGCTTGATTTACAATTTGACATCCGCGTCCTACGTGTGGATGAAGAGATACGGGAACGGGGTGAGCCTGTTACATGTAATTAACCCTTGATACTAGTTAGCTAGAATATCATCCTAAAGGTTGAAAATGTGCGTGAATGTTACCATGAGGGGTAATATTTAGAAACATGCACAGATTGGCTGATACAAGTCATTACATCAGCCAGCTCTAGCGGTCCAATCGACGATGGACGCGCGCAATGAGTGGTGAGCAAGACTTTAGCATACACTTTGTAGATGAACATATAGCAAGTTAGGACTTAAACAAAGGTTAATGATTAAAACTTATTTATATTTAGTGCAGTCTAATTTTTACCAGCAATTAGTCTTGGTTTCCTAGTTGGTTTACCTTCCTCTGCGTAGTTTACAGAGATGTAGCGAGGCACCACTCACACTACTGTCGGTGAAAGTGGCTCCACAATGGATGCCCAGGGTTTTCCTCTGGTGTCCCGATACAGATACGAGCTAGGCGAGAGGCTGCAGCAATTAACAAAGGTTGAGTGTCGACAAAAGGCACTAGTAAGTAATGAGTACGCTTGGTCATACTGAACGTTGAAAATACGTGATAAACAAACTGGCCAGTGTTCACTGCGGATACGAGGCGGTCAACACGTTCTTTTGGATTGACCGCATGCCTATTCCACACGAACGTATGCTACGAATCATGAGAAGAGCGTCTCCTCCCGCGGCGATTTTCTTACATATATCATGACAGCTAGACGCTTCATGTTGAGTATCGCGATTGATCCACAGCTTGAGCATCTGACAATGCGTGAAAGCCGGAATCTTTATTTGTTCATCCAGACATCTTCTTACTAAGGTGCACACACGTAGTTATACATACGGCTATCGTCATGACGTTCTTGCGAAGCTGGATCGCATGGACAGCAATGTACAGCAAGTCGCAGCCGCATATATCTCATGTCTATTATACTATACCAGCAAGGCGAATGCGAGTGGTATGCGTCCGCCATCGGGAAGTGCTATCTATACCACATATCAAACAACGCGAGTCCCATCATCTCTTCCAGTTTTTGTACATACACTGACTTATGATCGAGTGTACGAAGCGCCTTAAATTCTGACAGGACCTTGACTTGCACAATATTGGTCGACTTTATTTCCAGTGTCCACACCAATCATCCCCCCCCCGCGAATATGGCTTGATTGTCAACGACCATTATTTCCTCCCAGCGTAAACTCTTAAATCAAAAGATGACAATTCTTCATCCTCTTTTTACAAGTAGAATTTGCATTGTGACACGACACAAGTCATCTTTACATGATAAACATTGTAGTAGTGCGCGATCTTGCTCTAATGTGACGGGTCACTAAAGCAGACATGTCCTTTCGCGGTTTAATGTGTCTGTAAACGCCATGATCTCGTGGGGATCGTGCACACTAATTCCGTACAGTGTGGTGGCATTCATGGGCGCACGACTACGAGTGCAACGGGGTGAACCGTTACATAACAATTTATACGAAACTGTTAATAGAAAATAACTATAAGAGTTATATTCTCAGAATATTGTCATTAGGACAAATATTCTGCAGCAATTACGAGTGGTTCCTAATTGGTTGATATAGGACATTATATCAACCAACGAAGACGCGCCACGACAGACGCACGCAATGAGTGGCGAGCAGATAGTTTATTTACACATTTGTATTTAGACATAGTTAGATGAAGATAAACAGCGGTTTTTAATAGACATCAACTATGATAAATACAGTTCTACTTTTTACTTTAACCAAGTACTCGCTTCTTCTTACCGTCTTCCTCAGCACGTACCAGTGTACGTGAAGTTACGCGGCACCGCCTCATTCTGTCATCAGAATAAGTAGCTTGTACTGTCACCAGTACAAGCTTCAGGGTGCCCCGTTACACCTGGTAGCACTTCGTTGTTCGTCCAAGGACCACGTTCACATCTAACATGAATATGTTGGATGATGAAGATGACCAAAGCTTTCACGCTACGCGTGACGGCTACTCCCATTTGAGCAATGTCGAATAGGATGCGGTTGAACGGATGGGTACAACCATGGGCATCCATGCTGTTAGCGTCATGCTAGAGGCTCTCAACAGAGATGCCCAACATGCTACTATCGCCAAGTTCATTCAAAACGAACTTGACGCTGAACGCTAGAAAGTAGCCTTGCTTCACCAACAAGGTTCTCAACAAGCAGAGTTGCTGAGAGAACAGGGTGTTCAACAGTTTGAACTGTTGAGACAGCAGCAGGCTGCTGCTGGTGGGTCGATGCACTCGCGTCGACCCGAGACATTGAAGATTGACATCTCCAAGTATAGGGGAGTCGAAGAGGACTCCCTCTTGAGATGGTTCGTCGAATTAGACGACGCCATAAGGGCGCGTCGCATCGACGAAGGCGATATGCAAGTTGCATTTGCCCAATCAAATTTGGCAGGACGTGCCAAGACTTGGGCATTGGGGCTCAAGTTGCGCGACCCATATGCGTTTGGGTCGTTGGAAATCTTCAAGTCGCGGCTCAGACAAACGTTTGAACCGCCTAGAGCTGAGTTCAGAGCTCGAACCGAACTCTTGAAGCTCAAGCAGGGTAAGCGTGATGTGCACGCTTACGCGCAACATATACGACATCTCACGAGTTGTATAAGTTCCAACCCGGTTGATGAACACACGTTGGTTTCGGTGTTCACGCAGGGTCTTGCGGATGTTCCCGTCAAGACTCACCTGTTCCGACTTGAACTAGATTCACTAGAGCAAGCCATTTCCATTGCGGAACAGAAGACTTCAGTCTGAGACAGGCTCGCGCCAGCTCGACATCATAACGTCAACCTAGACGATATGACAGCGGAGGTCCAAAGCCGATGGAACTCTGTTATGTAGAGAGCGAGAAGGCTCGCTCTACAGACTACAAGAAGTTGCAGAAATGCAATAGATGTCAGAAGACAGGAAACTACGCTTACGAGTGTAGTGCCCCTCGTCCAGTGTCTCGCAACACTGGGCGTAGTGACCGTCCACCCACGAGAAAGGGGCAGGGGCGCGGGTCCGCTGTTGGTGCAAAGACGCAACAACGGGATGGACCGTCAAAAAACGGACAGGATCAGTAGGTGCGGATCACCCTACTGGTCCAGCAACGTCAAGAGAATTTGCAGTTCTCTTGATGAAGGTTGCTCCCAACACACAAACGTTGTGCGTTGCTGCTTTAGGTAATGAGATCTCACTCATTACTTTGAAACTCGAAGTGACGAATAAGTTGTCCCTTCGAGCTCTAGTCGATTGTGGGGCGTCCAACAATTTTGTGCGACGCCAATCGCTAGAAGATGGTCACTTTAAGTTCAGTGAATGTGACACACCTCCTACGAGGATGGCGGTACGTCTTGCGACAGGTGCATCCGTAACCGTCATGAAGCGTATAGTGAAGATCCACTAAACGCTAGAAGATACCCAATATGACGATGACTTAATCGCATTGGATTTGGATGACAAATTTGATGTCGTCCTTGGAATACCGTAGCTCAGAAGGTACGAACCACGGGTAAACTGGCAACATCGAACAGTAACGATGCCTGCCGCTTGTTCATCAGATGGCCATCTGATGAACGTTTTGGAGCGTCCACAAGCGTGTGGATTTACAACGAGTGAGTGCGATGGCCTCACTTGTGGTACGGTCGTTAGTACGACTGCACAAAACCTTAGCGTAACAAACATTACACTTCGGAGCAAAGTTCCAGCGGCTGTGAGGAAACACAGGCTGCGCCGAAGGTCCACCGCTCGAAAAAGTCGAGTAGACCGGGACAAAGATGTATCCCTAGCGGGGAACATCGAGAAGAGAAACAATCGATCGCTCAGGTTAAGCGAAACGATAATCCTAGATCGACTGGAGAGTCTTTCGTAGAGGATCTCGCTGTGGTTGCGCAACCCCAGCTAGAGGAAGTTAAGGGAATAAGTCCCAAGATTACAAATACGGCGGAAATAAGTTCCCCGAAACCCGCGGGAATAAGTCCCCAGGAAGCCGAAGGAACAAGTACTTCGAGGCCTGAGGGAATAAGTCCCCAGGAAATGACAGAGACATTGAATGTCATAGTCAATAACGGATCAAGTGTAGGCGCTTATACACTTGATCTGATTGCGCCTCCCAAGTTGACTTCGGAGATCACTCAGTTGCCAACGCTCGAACATAAAATGTTCTTGCGTGGTCTGCGTAGTGGCAAAGTCAAGCAGATCTGCGTACTCGTCGCTGACGACGAGTGTGTAGTCGACATAAGGTCAGCAACAGTGTTTACTGAGAACGAGAGAGTTCTCAGTAGCTCATCTATGGACGAGAGTGTCCTCGGTGAAAAGACATGAGTTGAGCGATATGACTCCCAATCGTGGGAATCGCTCAAGACAAATCCTCTCTATGAAGATTTGGTTGAATTCAAAGATGTATTCCCTAAAACTGTTCCGTGCGAATTACCGAAGGATAAAGGTATTCGACACGAGGTCGAACTTAAACCAGGCTCGAAGTACTGTGTCACGAAGCAGTGGCCACTGCCTCGTGAACAAGTACTTGCGATCGACAAGTTCTTTGCCGATCGTTTAGCAGCGGGCCATGTGAGGGAATCAACTTCCCCACATAGCTCTCCGACCTTCTGTGTGCGAAAAGCAAAAGGAGGGTGGCGGATAGTGCGTGCATTTAACAATTTGAATGCTGCAACGGTACCGGCTCAGACGCCCATACCAAGGAAGGACGTAAACATTGATGGTATGTCAAAGAGTACCATCTTTTCGTCCATGGATTTGATGGATGGCTTGTATCAAATACTTATGCGAGAACGGGATATACCCTATACCGCAGTGAGCACGCCTAGCGGCATGCTCTAGGAATGGCTAGTAATGCCACAAGGGCTTAGTAATGCCCCTGCCACGTTCAGCAGATGTGTATCACATCTGTTGAGACCAGTACGAGAATTCGCGCCGAGTTATTTCGATGACGTATTCATCCATAGTCGGGCTATGTATGGAAGTCGGATGTTGAGGTTTACAGGTACCACGTCCGACAGGTTCTTGCAATCATGCGATAGCATCAATTGTATGCAAACCTCAAGAAGTGTATATTTGCAGCAAGCGAAATACCACTTCTTGGGTGCATCGTTGGCAAGAACGGTGTACGTCCTGATCCCGAAAAGATCAAGGCGATCACCGACTGGCCTGTGCCGGTTGATGTCAAAGGTCTTCGAAAATTTCTTGGACTAGCGGCGTATTTGCATAAATATTCACTCAAATACGCCGAGATGACTGTGCACCTCTCTCGTTTGTTGAAAAAGAACGAGAGGTGGTTATGGAACGCTGAATGTCAGCGCTCCTTTGATGGTATCAAGCAGAGCTTGATACAATCCCCATTCCTAGCAATAGCCGATCAGGATAGGTCATTTCATGTGGTCTGTGATGCCAGCGATTTCGCAATCGGCTGTGCATTAATGCAGTACGATCTTGAAGGCGTTGAACGCGTCGTCTGCTATCAGTCGCGTCAGCTGCAACCAGCTGAGCGGAACTATCCAGTGCATGACAAGGAACTACTTGCCATGAAGTATGCACTTGCGAAGTTCAGAGTCTATCTATTAGGAGATAGACCCTTCATTGTTTACACTGACCATGCGTCATTACGCACGGCAGTGAACAGCCCGCACCTTTCACAACGAATGGCGCGGTAGTTGTCATTCTTTGCAGAATGCAACAGTACGGTAGAGTACAAACCAGGACGACTTAATGTCGTCGCTGATGCAGAGAAGCGACGACATTAAGTCGTCCTGGTTTGTGCCGAGCTAAGGGTAGCTTGTGTGGATATTGACCGGTCTAGAGCTAAGATAACTGCTCTTCAGACCCTTGTTCATGCCCACCATAGGAGCACAAGGCTCTCTTTGAGATGCTTGAGCGCAAGGGCGTTCTCTATCGGAAGAAGAAGCGTACTGATGGTACGGCTTAAGCCGACCAACGTAAAACGTGGGATGCGTTCGCATCTTACGTGGCAGTTCGATCGTGTATGCGTTGCCTAGGCGATGCAATACACGAAATGAGCCGATGTTCTTGGGTAGTAATTTACTGCTACCCAAGTTAGTCACTACATGCTTTGGTAGATTAACCGTAGACAGTAGGACTAAGTCACCTTTATTAAATAAAAGAGTGTTTGCCCTTCCATTCTTGTCAGCGTTTTGCTTTTGCTTATCCACCGCTTCGGCGATGGAATCTTGCACAATACGGACTACCGTTTCACGAGCCAGTACGAACTCATCTGATGACTCGTTAGCTTCAGTGCGCTGTGAGTGCACTGCAGCAGCATCAACCTTTTCTTCAGTGAGGGCTTCCGCACTCTCACTGGCATCATCTTCTTCGATATCGATGTTATCGATATCGGCATCAAACGCAATGACCTCTTGGTCAGAGCGTGATGAGCGTGAACCAAATCGGTTTTTGCTCGCGCGAGTCCCTCCCCCCCTTAAACCAGAGTTACACTCTAGTAAGGTGGGTACACGCGGATGGCGTAAGCCATTACGTAAAACGGTGTATGTGTCGTGGACGCATGCACCGAGTTGTTAATGGCAAACTCTACCATGGGCAAAAACTCACTCCAACTCTTGACGGAGTGTACGTAGACGTCAAAGCCCTCTCGTTCTCAAGCTGAGCAAAGGCATACTCAGCTCGATGCTTCAAGGCAGTGTCCACCAGTTGAAGACGCCTGTCCCGCTCATGTTCGAGATCGCCGCGTAACGCTTGCGTTACGCGATCAAAGAAGCTCTCGGGGACACACGCTTCCCCACGATAGTTTGGAGAGCGTCTTTCCTCCTCCTCCACCTCCATTAGAGGACTCTCGCGGTGGCCAGCGCTATCTAGTTGAGCAGCTGTTGAACTACCGCGCGACGTGAACGGACGTCTGACGAGTTATCTCGTCCGGTATCGCGGTTATCTCCCGTCCTGGTATTCTTGGGAGCCCCGCTCCCAACTGATGGTTGACGTACTGGGTCTGGTTGAGCAGTACGACGCGGCACATCCTGTGCCGCAGAAGGACCGCCGGAGAAAGTCTTCCCGGCACGGTCGTAAAGGGATTTCAGGTTGTCAATCCCTTTGTACATCTCACTAGAGATACGTACGCGCCACCACGGGCTATTAGGAAAGTAATCCTCCTTAGGTGCGCGCGCAGAGTTGTTTACACAACAAAGGCACGGGTCTCCCCAGGACAGACGGGTAACCCACCCTCCTTAGACAGACGATGCAGCTAATAGCGTGCCCCTGTCGGGGTTCGCTTTTTAAACTTTTCACGAGCTTTGATAAGTTTGTTGTTCTAAACGTCACGACCTACATCCTCAAGGTTATGGATGTAAGCGTTCCACGCTTGAAGCAGTGAGGGACCATCACTCTTACGTTGTGATTCCCACTGTACCATCGATGCTTAAAGAAAGCATTGATGACGAATTCATGTTCAGTGTGACAGTTTTTCACACTGGGGTCAAGGTGATGGATCCTTGATGAATCGAACAATCGTGTTCGATAGCGATCACTTTGTCGTCGCCGACAAGCGATCCATGACAGACTGTGGAGGCAGCCATGCCTTCTTTTCGTGAGCGAGACGCAACAAGCTGCGGTCCCGCTCTTCCTGCGACGTGCCAACTGAAGTACTGGTACCTCGCTGCAAAGTGGTGTCAATTGGAGAACCGACACCACTGTGAGCGCCCGAGTCTCGCGACCTCGAGCGCCTACGCTTCGGCGATGGTTCGTCTGATTCGTCAGATGAACCAAAGATGCTGCGACGCATAGCATCATCCATGCTACGCATGCCAGATGGCTTGGTTTCAACCGCCTTCGATACAGATCCCTCTTCCGTATCAGGACAGTACGAGACACCGAGCTCATACTCTGTGAAGACATGAGTGTCTTCATGACCAGCGCCTGCATCACCCGGTGATACAGGCTGAGACGCTTTAGCAACCAATGACACATCGGTGCAGCGGTTTCTGCTTCGGCGTCTGCACAGAGACGTGCAGACGCGCTCTCTGCGGCCTTGTTCGCGCACCGCATGGGCTTGTTAACCTTGCGATGAGATGTTGGAAAGTGGACTCGGACCAACAAGTGCAAACCCTGTCCAAAATGATTTGGGACGAGTATCCATTTAGTCGATCAGTCACTAAAGTGACTGATGGTTTAAGGGGGGGGGGTGATGTAACGGGGTGAATCGTTACGTAACAATTTATTTGAAACTGTTAATAGAATATAACTACAAGAGTTATGTTCTTAGAATATTGTCATAAGGACAATATTCTGCAGCAATTACGAGTGGTTCCTAGTTGGTTGATATGGGCCATTATATCAACCCACGAAGACGCGCCACGACAGACGCACGCAATGAGTCAGATAGTTTATTTACACATTTGTATTTAGACATAGTTAGATGAAGATAAATAGTGATTTATTGCAGACATCAACTATGATAAATACAGTTCTACTTTTTACTTTAACCAAGTACTCGCTTCTCCTCACCGTCTTCCTCTGCACGTACCAGTGTACGTGAAGTTCCGAGGCACCGCCTTATTCTGTCATCAGAATAAGTATCTTGTACTGTCACCAGTACAAGCTTCAGGGTGCCCTGTTACAACGAGGGTGTTGTAGATGTTTGGCATGAGTTGTCTTTGAGTCCGTCTACCCACGCTTGCAGGTCGTTTACTCAGGCCTTTTTCTTTTGCATTTGTGTAGATTCCGCACTCCACTGCCTCTCCACGAGCTATCCATACCATTCTTAAAATCAGCATGAGAATGCAAGCCCACGTATTGGTCGCCTGAGCTCGCGACCCTGACGACGGTAATTAAAAATTGTGGGTAATTAACGATACTGCAAGCACAAGGTGTATAGTCTGGAACACAGTGCCGAAAACTCAAATGAAAATTCTGATAGGCACAAACGACAGTAACCACATCATTGTTACCTGATATTATCTTCACGGCGTTTAGCTGCGCTCACATCCGCAAAGAGCGAATTTGCGAATCATAGCCAGACACTTCTCTTTCGTGTGGGCAGTAGCTCTGTGGCGACGATACATGCTGAGTTGTTGCATTATAGCAAAGAAAATGTGTTGAACAGATTCGCATAAGTGTGACAACGTCCAGGCAAATATTACCAAAGCCGCTTAAATTATGTTTCTGTGTTTTGAGCTCGAAAGTAGTCAATCGTTGTTACAAAGTGAAAAGTACACGAGCGTCCAAAACAACAGAAACACCGTCGAATATCTTTGAGATTCGAAAAGACTGTACTTTCACTTTGATAAGTTGACGTCGTTCCGATCCGCATACTCGGACTACGAAAAGTTGTGTATACACTTGGCCCTCTGTCGACAGCAGATAAATAGAGAAAGCCGTACAACAGACCCGAGATAACTGGAATGGGGTAACTTTCCTCGAAGAGTGAAGGAAGGTCTACAAAATTATACATAGCAACTAATGTGGCTGACAACGATGATTGATTCAGTGAGCGAGAAGGTGATGTACATTCAGGTACGCGAACACCCACTCTATCCGGTCTGCTATCAACTAGGTACCGCGAAGACAGCAAGGTGTATTTCTTACGTACTTGTTTTCCCTCGGACAGATGCAGTACGCTGTGTGAGTTGTAGTCTTGAGACGGATGTATTCTTCGCGGTCGCCGTGGGACCCCGGGGATCAGAAAGTTCGTTGTGAGAATTTTCGAGCCAGTGAGTAACGTCAGAGTCGAGGAATGTTGCAACCTCCTTGACGACCCGGCGATCCAACGGAATGTGCACTTAAACCGAAGTACAGAAATCCATCGCAAAATTGACCAGTCGATTATCCGTCTTGGTGAAAGTGCGGTAGTGATGCCCTCAGATGACGTCCGCAGTATCATCGGCAAAACCCCTTTCTTACGGAAGAGCAACACCAAGTAAGCTTTTAGTGGTGAGTGGTGGGATCGGAGTCAAAAATTAAAAATGCGCTATGTTCAGTTACATGTAAGGGGTGTAATTGTTCGCCTTCGCCTGGCGTAAACCATTCAACAGACCTCTTTTATTTATTCTGCATAGTTGTTCATAGTTAATGCTCGAAGTGGGACATGCTCGCAATTTCGATAACGCATGCCGCGTGAGACATGGGGTGCGTCTTATAAACGACACATCCAGAACCACCGGCCCTAGATTTCCTCGCGACCCCCAACGAAAAAAGTAGATGAAACGGCTCTGGATAAATGTATGCCTTGCTCCAGCCGGTTGAGACCGGGAGGAATAGCATGTTTGAGTAGCGCATCAGCACGAGCTGATCGCGGTAGGCCAAATTTAGTTCACGTCATCAGCTCCGAATTAACAGGTCGACTTACTAAAGCTTGTGATCGCACGTCGAAGCTGAGTTCTGGCACTCGCGTTTTGGGTCTCAGTTGAAAGGCTAGGAAATTAAATTCGTCGGAGACGCTCGATCCACATACCATGAAGCGTTGAAGTGAAAACAAATTGCCAAATCTCGTTCGCAGCTGTAGAGATCGCGGCCGATAATCCAGATGTGTCTTTTGAAGCCGCGACAGAAGCTTGCACGGCGCCCTGAGCCAAATATGGAGTACTGAGAAGTCCCATGCCAAAATATTAAATGTTGCGTCTGTCCATGTCAATGTAACAAGACAGTGCCACAAATGACAAAAGACAATTTATTGCCACTGTGCCCCTGGGCATGTAAAACAAAACGTGACTTGCTGGATCTGTGAGTGACCGGTCACAACTGGGTCAGGACACGACAGGTCCTGTCTGGACCAATTACATTATTAAAAGCGGTTGCTTTTTTTTTTTCAGGCGATACAGTATCTGCGCTCCAGTAGGGAGGATTACTCTCATGTGTCGAAGCTCTTTCCAATCGATCAAATCAGTACTTGCGGAAAACACACGAAAGTCAGGTCGCGCTGTTCTCTGATCCTGACGTCGTTACCCTTGAAAGTGTAATACTCGCGTTATAATCTTGATCAAAGCTCTTGAGTTGGGTATACATCCATTCGAGCCCCTTCGTAAGTGTACGAAGCGAGTCAGCCTTGGATAAATACCAAAGTGTACAGGTGTCCCACAGCTGGTTTAGCCGAGCGATCGCACTCAAAAATTGAGGAAACAGACGTAGAATCACACGACAAACCCGCATCAAAATGGGCGACCGTCAAGCCATTGTCGCTGATGACCCAGTCATGACACTGATGTATCGTCGATGTGTAAGAAACTAAAGCCCTTGTCTTCAAAACGCGACACAAAATTTAAGGAAAGATGTACAGGATATCGAGGCAACAAGAAACAAAAACTTTCTGCGCGTGGCGATAGATGCCGTGGACGCATTGATATAACTGGCCTATAATTTGCAACACCGCGCCGAAGCTTAGTCCATGACAGAGCATCTGGGATAAATTGTGCAGCTTTCAGATATTGAGCGCCACCAAATTGTACGGTTGGAATCTGCGGCTCTGAAGCCAAGTCATCTCGCTCATTTTTGCGTGAATAAGTCACGTCTCGTCGGATCGTTCTGATGCCGCAATAACAGGATTAAGGCCGTTGAAAAATACCTGCGTCAATCGCCTGACGAACGTCATTGTAACACTTCCATCATCGATGTAAACAATCTCAATTTGCAAAGAAAAGATGGGCGCACAACGACGTTCAGCCTCTACGTCACTTTGGCAAATGTGATGGGCTGCAGATATGCTGACATCTCCGGCCCTAGTGAACCAAAGGGTTTTCTGTAGTCGCAGAAGGGACCCGTTAGCCCAGAATGGTGTGATAAAAGAAGGGCCATTTTTAAGAGATCCCCACAAGACGTCACCTATCTTGAAGTCCCGCCGAGAGCTAGTGGTTTCCCATTTGACGACCGCGGTAGCTGCCATGGTCATCAATTGTGTCCAACTACAAGGAACCCCTAACCACCCAGCCTGACAGGAAAAAATATTGTCTCGTTAGGCACCCTAGGGTGGGAGCGCATGCCATTGCGCGTACACAGACGAATTCTAAAATCAAGCCGCGTAGACGCTACAACTTGCCTGGATTAAGCCAGCAGTGACGCGCAACAAAGGCAATTTTAGGGCCCCGATTTACCATGCAAGGCAAACCCACTGTTCAACTGTGTAGGTCTTTTCCCGCGCAAGCACGAGTCTACCCCATATTGATCAAATGCATTTTGTCCATTTCTCATCTGTAGTATCAAGCTGCCCCACCATTACATCGAGATACCGACAAGATGCCTCGAGGGTGAGTATCGTAAGAACTCGTGTGTCAAGCGGTAAATCCCAAATACGTTTTTAAGACGAAGAAGCCGCAATTTTGAAATGTTTGTGGTAAGACCAAACACTCCGGCGACCCCATCTAATATGGAACAGACCAGTTTGATCGAAGAATGATCACGCAGGTAGACCGCCGGGTCGTCTGCATACCCGGAAATCTTGATCTATGTGAATTTGCCTTCTTATTTAATCGTAATGCCGCGCATGTTGATACTTTTATGTAAAACGCGAAAGACGCTATCTAAAGCCAAGATCAACATTAGTGGGGCAAACGGGCAGCCTTGTCGAATGCCACAGTTCACAAATCGTTGATTGGAGTGATTTCTGTTCACAATGAAAATGAATGCCGTGTTGTGATGTAATGCTGACACCACAGACGCAAAACGTTGAAAGAATCCCTTCTACGCCATAACCGAGAGAAAATGTACGCTGTAGTGTATAGTAAGCTTTAAAGAAATTCAGTAGAGAAACAAATGAACTAAGGAGCTCATATTAGATGAGGCGGCCTTTTTCACTTCTGCAAACCCATTTGACGCAGTATATCTAGATCGGGCGGGACAAAACCCACTTTACCTGGTAATACAACCTCGAAAGTAGAGGCCGCAAGCGAAAAGACAAAATTTTGATAATCAATTTATAATCACTGTTCAAAGTGCAATTGGACAATTACCCAGCGGTCGGGCCGATACCGCCATTTTTTACATGTGATGTTCGCTTGCGCAAAAGCACGCGAACAAAACACTTTATTTAGGACAAATGGAGAACAATGGCTCTAGAATAGGCGCAAGTAAATCAGCGTAGACTCGGTAGAAGGAGGTATTTATTTTATCAGGTCTTGCCGTGTTTATGTGTTTGAAATCCTTTTAACGATGCGCGCACGTCGTTGACAGGAATGACAGCCATTACTTCCGAGTCATTAGTTCCCACCGGAGGCGAAGATATACCCAGAAAAGCCTGAGCTAAGTCGAGATCAGTGAAATCGCGAATCGTAATGGGTTCCCATTCATCTGTTTTCTCATCGGCGAGTGCCTGAGAGAGAATGCTTTCGTGCAATGTGTTTCTACCTATACAGGGATCATGTTTTCTTGGAACTTTGTCGACACGCGGGCTTTAAAACGACGAGAGGTCTTGCCTGGGTGATACGTGCGCTGGAATTGTAGACGCTCTATTTAAACCCTCTGCCAAAGACGTCGAAAGTTTGCGACATATTTGCGAATAACTTTTTGGTCGTCGACTATAGCAGACGATACTGCATCACTAGAAAAGTGCGAGGCGTCAAATTAGATTAATTGATTGCAATGACAGCAGCTCATGACCTTGTGTGCAATTTTACAAGTCTTTGCTTGTAGCCGCGCTTCATATTTTGTCTTTCACTGTTAATAAAAGACAACAAAGCTTTACCTAAAGTACTTTTTCTTCCATCGATCCCTCCATTCAAACATATCGTGTGTAGACTGAAATTTGAAGTAGTAGACGAGCGGCTCCTGCGACTGTGCATCTCGGAATATCAAGGGCGATACGAACATTTCTTTACGTTGCGTATTTCGCACAACGAGGGACCGGGTATACTCGCCTGGGCTGGCGAACGCGTACTGTACACATTGGATACCCGAGTCAGCTCGTAACACCATTGTGATCGCCTGCGGGATTAGGAACGGATTGGTGTACATCTCGGATCCGATCTCAATGCCGGGGGTGACGTGCCACCTATCCAATCGAGAGCTGGCCGTCTTGCCACCTAGAAAGGTGTAGAAATAAGTAGGAGCAGCCGCGTGAAATTCTGAGTCAGATCGCTCATTCATAATCATTTGCAGCTCGTCTTCAGTGACATCGCTCATCTGCACTATCGCGATTAAGCGATTAAGTGCTGGAGATTTGTGACGTTCATTCAAGGCTTTGAAAGAACAATCAAAATAAAGATTTAGCGTGCAGTTAAAAACCCCTCCTAAAATTAACGGACTCTCGAAGGAAAGTAAGGTCCGACGCAAAAGTCAGAAAGCTTCTCGCGTTCACTCTTGTCAGTGGTGAACACACATTTTTTACCACCATGGTCAAATGTATTTGAGTAGATTTTACTGCCATCCAGTGTCTAGACCAGATATGTTTGGCTTCAAAAATCCATCCCAGTGATAGTAAGGTACAGGTTGAGTAAAAATGAGACTCCACCCCGCGCTTCTATCGACTCGGTACAAAAGTATGCCTGCGTTTAGTGACGAACTGTAGCGGGGAACACTTTGTTTGGGTGCCACAAAACTTCACGAACACTAGTACGTGCAGAGGAAGCTAATCTACTTAACAACAAGGTTGAGTAAAGGGTAAAAAGAAACTGCATTTAATAAAGTTAAGCTATCAATATAACTTTGATCTTTAAATGTATAAAACTACATCGTCGTATGACGAAAACCTGCTTACCGCTCATTACGCGCGTCTAGAAGATATTGGTGGTAATCTATGATTGATAAATCTTTTATCAACCAATATTTGAGCAGCGCATGAATATTATCCTACAAGGGAATACTATTCCTTCAATATTATCCATCACGGATTTTATTGGTAGAATATTGTCATTCTCGACAGTATTCATAACGACACCATTTGGTGTCAATATCATGTAACTGGATACCCTGTTACAGTGGTTGTCATTGGTAATAAATATCGTGTTTGATAGTGTTTAGACGAAAGAAACATTACGTGTGACGGTGTCACCTAATGGATGGTGTTCATAACATGAAATGTGGGACCACGAGGAGACAATCATTCAGATGATTCAGGGAGAGATAGGGCGACGACTTGACAGAAAGGACTATGAATTTATAACACGACATTTGAAACAAGGCGATACGGTCGCAATGTGCGACTAACGTACGAGAAAGGAAGGAAAGACAGATACCATCAGGCAAGTACATGATCGAATTGCAGTGTTGTTGCGGTGCATGTTGTAGTATTGAAAAAGGAGAATATTTAATTTAGTTAATGCTGAATAAATGCTTCTACATTTGCACAAGTGCGAACCAAACTATCATATACTTACAGTTTACAAGCCCAAGCAAGCGCAATTACAGGGCATCCGATCAATCTGGACCCGCCATGGTTACAAAAAGACCAGACAAGACCGAAAAAAAAGCATTTAAAATAGAAGTTGGTAGCGCCCGCAGGGGCGATGACCCAGGTCCTGGTGATGCTCGGGGAATTATCCGATCTAATGAGTCGGACGGAGGTTGCCCGGAAGGAGAAGGTTGGCAAGGACCAAAAGGGGTCACCATAGTCAATCTTCGCCTCGGCCTTGAGAGTGGATGTGGGGATAAGTCTTCAGGCTTTCGAGCGTATCCCCCCCCTCCCAAGAAGTCCCCGAAAGTGTCACGAGCGACATTTTTGGGGCTATGCGCCACAACCAAGCGAACGTTGGTGGGCGACCTGTGGGCCAGGTTGAAGTCTGCTTCAACATGGAAAAAATCTATGAACCTTTACACCACAAGCAGGAGGTGCATGCGGGATACATTCCCGGTAGAGGCATGTCGAACAGGGCGTATGTTTATCCTTGACCACAGTTTACGGGCATGCCGGACGCGCAACATTAAAATCTAGCGCTAAAACCTTCGACGAAAAGGAACTCCACCACAAAATTTGTAGTGGGTTTCTTGAATGGGGCAAGGAATTTGTTCGCCAATTCGGGTTTGCAAATCGTGCGTGTTGGTTCGCATGGCCGAAGGATATGAAGATTGATGTCCTAAGGTAACATCTGGCCGTCAAGGCACATACGTACTACCGTCGACATAGTAAAACTATATATTATGAAAGTCAAACCTTGGATCATGATATGCAAAGTTGCTGCAAATTTTTGACGCCAAGATCTCACCTGCCCAGTGTATGAATAGCTAAGGGCGCCAAATGCAAGTCACAGAAGTTGGACGATCCACTTCTTGTACCTGACAGCCGTTCGCGATGCGTGCGGCGGTGCGGACAGCCTAGTGCTTGACAACATCGCCTACTATGCAGATTCGCATATGCGTATGACCAAGTTATCCAAGTTGGACATGCATCACACGGACCCTTTACGTAAGGCTAGAGAGCTGGCGCAGCTCGCGCAGTCAACATAAATTGACACTCATGAGAAGAAGCTGGGGCGCGATGCGGTCAACGCTGTTAAACTGAGGTAGAAATCTAGGGACAATATTTAGGCGAAGGTGAAGACTACCTTCACGGAAGTTTACAAGCGCACGCGCTGTGATTGCGGCGAAGTTGGGCGCATAAAATCGAGGTGACCCCACTCAAAAAATAGGTATCAAAGACAAACTTTTCCATTTGGCAATTGTGGTTGTCTACAAGACAACCATTGGATCGTCGACAGTGGGTCCAGCAGACATTCGGTTAACGAATTAATTCTGCCGATAAATTCGGATGATTGCTTTAGTGAATGCTTGACGGCGGCCACTGATGGAGGTTTGCTACTTTTGATGGTGAGAGGAAATGTCGACATTAAAGTTGATGCACTTGTAGTCGTAAACACCATACGACTTCTCGATGTTCAGTACGCCGCGTACCTTGAGCGTAATATGATCTCGTCAGGTAAGCTATTGGCTTAAAGTTGCGTACTCGAATATCGAAAAGGGAGTCGTGTGATGACCTCCGGGTGCGAAGGCGCCTTGATAATGTTAATTGCTACAACAATGCACTAGTTGTCAAGGTGATGGGAGGTGACAACACAACCTCATGCGCATCACGGGATACGATGATGGGTGAACCCAATTCACCTGAATATGAATCCGATTCAAGGGTTCAGAGTGTTTCCTCAATGAAGTTTCATCGCAGGTTGGGTCAGCTATGTTTTAAAACGATTATCGAGATGGCCAAACACCCGGCGTCGCCTATCAATATGACTAACACGGCATGCTCGAATTTATTGGCGTGTTCTCAAATAAAAAAAGGCAAGGAGACGCAGTCGAAGGTAGTAACGGGCAAAAATTCACCTATATATGTAATAAAGGGAGCGATTTGCTACGACCTCAAAGGTCCGATGACCCCACGAGACCGTCTGGGCAATTGTTATCCGGTTAATTTTATTGATTACCAGTCGATCTACTGCCGCTTATTATTGACTCAGTCGGAGGACGTTGCTACACTTAAGTTTAAACAAATCCTTGTAAACTTTGAACGCGAGTTCAATTGCAGAATTAAAGTACAACGCACAGACGGTGACAGCAAATAAAAGACACAAGAAGTGTTTTGCACGGCTGCGGGCGTATTACGTCAAGTGAGTGAAGTCAGGATCCAAGCCAGAAATAGCAAGGCTGAGCGAATGCATCGTGCCATCATGAACATTGTACAAAATTTACGGTGTTCACAAAAGTTACGGTATTTCCTTAAAACCTACCGTTGTCTTTATGGAGCGATGCTGCTAATTACGCGGCTTGCATTCTTAAATTGAGTCGAGCCAAGTCGAATCCTGGTGGTGTATTGCCCATAAATGTTTCAACATAGAAATTACCATGCTAAACGACATCGTGTTGTTCGGTTCGGGCATGCATGGTCCATGTCAATGCCAAGATCAAGTCACTCGGCGAGCGTGGGAAGGCGGCCATAATAATTGACAAAAGTGACGAGACAAAAGGATACAAGGTGTACATCCCGAAGGACAAGGTGGTGGTGGTAACGCACTATGGGCGAAACATCGAAACACTGACGGATGAACAGAACGGCCAGCTCAAGTCCCACTTAAAATTGGACGACCGTCAGGAGGAGATCTATAACGATGGTCAGCGAAGTGTTCAAGCGCAACCAAGTACCTAAACCTAGTACAAAGAGCCGTAAAGGCAAAGTTCAGGATGGACCTGAAATCGACATACTACAAGGTCGACTAGCAATAAACATGATGAGAAACCTTCACTGGAGGTCTTGCTGAGCAATGCGATGTGGTAAATGCAATTGCAGATCAAGCTCGTGAGCACTATTGGGAGGAAGTCAAGAGCGATCATCGAGAGCAGTGGGTGATTGTCATGACCAAAGAGTTGAACGATTTAAAGTCGAAGGACATTAGGGTGATTGTGGTGCCATCTATAGGTGCGCGCGCCCTACAAACAAGTGGGTGTACAAGACCAAGACCAATACGAACGAATACATTGAGCGGTAAAAAGCTCTCTTGATATATTGCGAAAACAAACAAGTTGTTAAAGTAGAACATGCTTCAAAGTTAGCGGCCGTCACGACCTCAGGAACAACCAGATTGATCCTGGTGCTCTCCAGACGATGAAACGTACCGGCAAGCCATGGTTACGTACCAAATGCGTGTGTCAAGGCTGCAAAGGAGGAGCTCCTAGACATCTACATGAAGGTGCCAAAGGGAATGACTCTAGCAGAAAAAGAGCTCGAAAGCTTGGGAGCTAGCTCATCAAGTGATTTGGCTTTACTGTTGTAAAGATCACTGTACGGACTTAAGCAGGCCGGGCGGATGTGGAGCAAATTACTTGACTCTAAGCTGCGAAAAGGTGAATTTTAGCAATTCACGACGGACATGTGTTTGTACAACAAGTATAAAGGCGAGACGTTTACAGAGGTCGGTGTCTGTGTGGATGATCTTTTGGTCACAGGCACCGATCAAAGCGCTCTAGACGAGTTTTTGCTGAGATGAGGTCATTGTCTATTGAGAACCTAGAAATCGTAAACGAAATCCTACGATTAATGATTCAGCTGAACATCTCGAATGGATATGTTCTCGATCGAGAGGTCACGATCGACCTATTGCTCAAGGAGTTCGGTATGGAGTCTGCAAACGGAGTGCGGACTCCTATTTGAGACAAGTGTATTGTGGATGACGAGGGCGACCTGAACTACCAACCTTAGAGAAGCGCAAGGGTTGAATCAAGCGTTAATTCGTTTTGTTGCTGTGAAAAGTTTGCGATGGATTGCAAGATGTACGCGTCCAGATGTATGCTTTGCAGCGCACAAGGCCACGGGGCAGACACACAAGCCAACGTCCGAGGACTGGAAGACAGCCAAGCGGATCGTGAGATAATTGAAGATGTCGAAGGGCATAAAGTTGCATTAACACGGTGTTGGAATAAACGGTAGAGGACGTGCGGATGGAGTGGTAGAGCGATGCGGATTTTGCTGCCGACAAGGACGACCGTAAATTTGTGTCGAGATGCGTGCTAACTATAAATATTACTCTTGTTTTATGGTTATGCAATAAGCAATCAGGGGTGTAGCTGAACATGATGAAGGCTGAGATTATCTCAGCTTCGCAGGCCGGACGGAATCTACTAGGCACGAAAGAATTGCTGAACGAGCTTTAGCTGTGTGTGCGCACGCCAATGCTGATGTGTTTGGACAAAAAAGCAGCTATCAAGTAGATCGAGTTGGAGAGAGTACATCGAGCGCCAAGCACGTAGACATACGTTTCAAGTTTATCTACCATTATGCGCAAGCAGGAATTGTGATACCGGGATTTGTCAAGTCGCAGGACATGATGGCGGACACACTAACGAAAGCTCTGCCGGCGCCAAGAATGAAAGAGCTGCGGACGGTGTTTAAGCTGAAGGCCTATCATGATGACGTCGATCAGGAGTAAACGAAACTAATATGTCAGATAGTTTCAAGATTCGAGTAATGTAACATGTGACGGGTCTCACCTGATTGGCTGGTGGTCAGACAAGGTGACATGTGGGACTACGAGGAGACAATCGGTCAGATGGTACAGGACTGATAATAAACAGGTTGAAACAAGGCGAAACGGTTGCAATGTGCGACTATCGTATGAAAAAAGGGAGTAAAGACGGATACCATCAGGCAAGTATATTGTAACGGGGCACTCTGAAGCTTGTACTGATGACAGAATAAGGCGGTGCCTCGGAACTTCACGTACACTCGTACGTGCAGAGGAAGACGGTGAGGAGAAGCGAGTACTTGGTTAGAGTAAAAAGTAGAACTGTATTTATAATAGTTCATGTCTGTTAATAAACCACCATTTATCCTCATCTAGCTATGTCTGAATACAAATGTGTAAATCAATTATCTGCTCACCACTCATTGCGTGCGTCTGTCGTGGCGCGTCTTCGTTGGTTGATATAATGGCCCATATCAACCAATCAGGAACTACTCGTAAGTACTACAGAATATTTGTCCTTTTGACAATATTCTGAGAATTTAACTCTTATAGTTATATTCTATTAACAATTTCTTATGAATTGTTATGTGACGATTCACCCCGTTACATATATGGTCGAGTTGTAGTGTAGTTGCGGTGCATGTTGTCGTATTGACAAAGGAGAATAATCAACATAGTTAATACTAAATAAATCCTCTTTTTGCTTTTAACTACGTTTGCTCAAGTGCGAACCAAAGCATCATCAACTTACAGTTATCACTGTTAGGCCTAGGGGTGGTCACATTCCCACAACTGTGCAGGCGAATGTCCGCTGAGTAGCCTGCATCCCGGGCGTGGGAGCGTTGATCTTAGTAAGTCCAGATGGATTTAAGCAGGACTGCCTATCCCATTAGAGGCGGGGAAGGGAGAATCGTGCGCATTCTTCATCGTCAAATTGTGACTACCCACACCCCCTTCGGTTAAGGAAGGGCTTCTTCCGGTAGCGAACGAGTACTCGAAGTACCAGCGCGCGCGAACGGGTCAGCGTCTAGCCCGCTCCCACACTGCGCGAGGCGATCTGTCCCCGCACGGAGAAAAGGGACGTTCCTACCCTATCGCCACTCACAGCAGTGTCAAAACACAGCAGCAGACTTCATCATGCCAAAATGATTTACTTGCGTGCAAAGGAACTAATCTAGAACTGTGGCTAATAAGGGCAACCAGACTGTTGCCAAATCGCTTTCAAAACTGAGCTGACGTCGAATGGGTGGGTGCTACTCAGTCAAGCCGTATTAGCTGGGCTTATCAGAGGCGAACAGCAGAAAATTGGACGATACAAATGGATTCAAAAACGTTGTTGCTTGCCTGCATGCAAGCCACCCACTTATTAACTGGTGATAAATCTAAGGACTTGCCATTTCCAATTTTGTTTATCATACAATGCGATCATTCATGTTGTTATAAGGTGGAAATGGATCCTTACAACCTTAACGCCACTCTTTGCACGATTTTATACCTTATTCGCGGTCACGTTCGCGTCAATACAGTGCTTGCACCTACACGTCTCTCACAGATCCTCTGTACTTAGTGCAGTGGGAATCCTACACCTAGCGCTTGCCGAAATCGATGCTCAGCCATTTACCGTAATTACGGCGGCCAAGGTCGAGCCTATAATTACCGTTATCATCTCGGCATTAGGCAGCGCTACTACCGCTACTATTTAAATAATGTGATCGTTTGTAACGAGCGTGGATCGGGGCGACAGAATCTGTTAAAGTAGCCCGAGGCACTGACATGCGCTGGCAAAAAGAAGTTGGCTTTGTGCAAGGAGATACCGACCACCACCATTGTCACTCGCTTTAAACCACACGAAAAGTATGCAAAATCTCGTGCTTTTGCCACTACAATACAGGTGAAAATGAACAGATGCAGTTTCAAGGAGATTGCAGGGCTAATTAATGCTGGAACATGAGATGAACGGCAAGGTCTGACAGCTGCGTGTCCGAAATACCATCCGGATATGAGAGCTTCTTCATCGCATCAGAAAAAAAGGCTTATTCAGCCAGAGCTGACCGAGGGGGAGGTTTTAGAGCAGATTAAAAATTGTAGAGAAGGACAAGAGAGGTGGTAGATATACCTGAAGTATGGCACCCGTTGTAGCAAGGGTTTATCAGGATCGAAAGCTCTACGTTCTACATGATCCCTGCTCCCTACCTGACATATTCTAAGAAAGACACTCGGCTGCGAATCGAGTGATTTAGAAATCTCTACTTTTAAGTCGCATTGCACGAAGCACTAATTCGCCGCTGACTAGTAACTTCGCGGCAATAGAAGGAGCTTGGTGGACGCCAAGTTTGACAGCCTACCAGCAGGTAAAAGTTCATAAAGGCCACCTTATTGGAGGGACGTCGATCTTCTTTTCTTAAGTGCGTAAAGTGCCCACTTGTCGTCTATCCCGCTTACTTCAGAGAAATATTGCTCTCAATATTCTCCAATCCAAGCGCAGAAATCGTTCTGAACAATGCATGGACTACATGCCGCTCGTCGTCGACTTCTTCTCCTCCATCGCCAGTACATCGTCCCTACCCACAGCAAGTTGACCAATATCCGCCATTTCACCAGCTCACACGAAAGCAAAACCCCGCAACAGCTTGAAAAAGGCTTCGATCTAGCTACAGGATTATGGCACCGCTGTACTTCGCGTCTTTCGACGCTATCAGAATACCAAGATAAAAAAATCTTTAACGATTCTCTTAGTCCTTTGGCTCAATACTGGCTGTTTGTCCAGCTACAGCTGCCAAAAGAAACGCAGATAAATCTCCTGGAGTTTGTCGAAGGAGCAAGTGTTGCCGCGGAAGCGACACTTCGAGCCATGAACTGTGACGCGTTCCCAAAGGTTCTGGCTAGTGAAGGGGAGAACAGCTTGTCCGAAGTAGAGGATAAGATAAAAATGTATACGACCCCCGCTCACTACAACAAAATGGCGCTGCAAGTCAAGCGAAACTACTTGCATCGCAACTTCTACATTGAGTGTGAAGATATGAAGATCGAGCGAGCACAAGTTGCGAACGCCGTGTACAGACGTCTGACAGAGAAAGAGTACCTAGACTTGGTGAATTTCGGAAAACCTGTGATGACGATATCTCCGGAAGCTTCCATTGAACATTTGAGCATCAACGTGGACATTGCAACTGTAGAAGACTTGAAGGTGGTGCACCTCAAAAACAAGCCTCGATACGTTCAGCACCAAAATGTTTACCGAGTGGTGTTAGAGTCGCGAGTGACGGATCACGATAAAGTTGACTGGCGGGTGGAGAATATGCACCTCATTGAACAGGCGGTAGTGCCACGCACCACGACAGGTGGGTGAATGCCAAGCAAGTAGCAACGTCTCCTGTGCGTTCAGCAACGTCAAATTGAAACAATGTCAATGAGATTTCGATCTGGCTACTGCGACAAACACGAATGTAGTTGCACTTTGCTGTAACCTAATGCCCAGACACTTGTGTTGTAAGTGTACTTCAGCATTTTAATGCCTCTTCCGTTATGTTCGATACCAAATGAGACGCGGTCATTGTGAGTTTCCACGTACGAGCCGTGGGAATCAACGATGCCGTTTGACATGGGCTGGCGCCGCCTTGTTTGTTGCTCTGTCTTAAAATGTAGTAGAAGTAGAGAGTTCATCAAAGCTCTAAATGACAGCGTATATTGTTCTGGTAGTATGATCCTAGCACTAAGTTGTTGTCCTTGTCAGTGCTTAGATTTCGCCACGCTGCGTTAGTGTACTCGATATGACTTCTTTGACAAGAAATCCAAGCATATTCGTTTTACTTGCGCTGCGAGTTTGGGTACTATCAAGATTGACGCAATAACGAACGCGACTATCATCATGATGAAAGAATTTGATACACAAGACACAAGTGGAGTGTATTACATGTATCGTCAGCCGCAATTTGAAGATGAGGTAAATCATCGAAACTACTACGAAATGATTTACTCATTCGAACGAAGCAACTCAAATCGATTTACCCTTACGAGCAGTACAGGAACCCGGTGTGTTAGAATCTAATGCCTTTATACGTGAGCACCATATTTCAATTTTGAGGGACTGTCCATAATTTTTCCATTACACTCACAGACTGACACTATCCACACCAACCCGTTGGTGACGTACTGTATTTTAAACCACTTTGCACACCTCCGGTTTTCAACAATATATCGAAGATCAATATCGTCACTTTTTGGTTCCTTTCCGTTATGTTTGTTCAAAATGGCCTAGCACCTACCCATTTCACGATGATATTTGTCGAACGCCAATCATAACAACATTAACATGCCTGTTGCACTCAAAAGCGTGATTGTTGGTGGCCGCGGGTATAGGAATGTGCGTAAATACCTATCGCATAGCCTCAACTTATGTAAAATATACCTGCCGCAGTGTTCAATTCTGAAGCTGCATGTATAAACAAGCATAATCTCGGCCACACCTCCAACACACTATTTTGCTAGCCATTGCTACTGGGTATTTTTCAGCCACGTCGTATTTCTACGACCTGTGGCGTGCTTTTAGCTGCTCCACATCGAGTTCTGCGTGTTATATACTGATTGCTGTTGCATCAAGCAATGATGAAGAGTGTGACTGATGACAAATATGCTTACCATAATGTGCATAAAAATGTTGCCGTGCCTGCTAAACCTTTGGAATGAACATATCGAGACCTTTATAATTGGGCACCTCGCAATTTTCCCACCTCTTATCACACTAGCTAGTATGAGTGCAAGCTCGGTGATTTACGAAGCACATGTTCTTGACGCGTTTACGTCAAAATAGCCACAAAATAACTGATTGTGGACCTAAATCGTTTGCTTTGGTCGAGATCAAAATTTGACGGCATGACATTTTCAATCATGAAGATCCATAATTGACGTTATGTCAAGCCATGAGGTCGGTAAGGCCATCATCATATTCCTTGCTGGCGACTGTTCTTGGACAGTGCCACATTGTAAATATTCTTCTTTGTAACATCTACCACCGAAAAACAGACAGCATTCGCGTAGGTAACAAATACGATGCACGCTCGCCTTTCAACGCTTTTACTACTCTTTGCCGGAAAGTCTTCAGTATCGTTGCACCTTTGCTGCACACCTTTCCTAGATTATTAGCATAAATCAACGGCAGCATCGTAAATCCAATTCGTCGTAGCCATCTATATAGACGGCGGCGCTCAACTCGTGATCTCCATTCTGCAAATGCAGCTAGCTGCAAACATTGTACGCAGTATTCGGTCGACCATTTGATGCTCAGTAGCTACGCAACGTGGCGAAATTTTTCTTTTCCCGATAAAGATCATCGTCTGTATGCATATGACAGATTTTGACATTTAATGTTCAACAAGTGCTGGCGACAAGCAGGAAGCAGGTTTTGCAGCGAACTCATAAAAAAAGTGCTGCTAGCTTATCTGGTTTTTTCATCCGTGTCGATGTTATGGCCATTGGACACATCATAGCGTCATATATCATGCTTCTTGTTGTTCGAGCAAACTCGATCAAGCAAGCTTTACATTTTTTTAAGTCACTTTTTGATCTTGGTAGTAAATCGTCTTGATGCTTCGATTCTACATTATCTTGTTCTGCCTTTGACCATCTTCTTAGCACAGACGAAGCGTCAAGTCATTTATCCTGCTTCACGTTTAACTCCTGCGCGTACGTACTCATAAATTCTTCACCTCTCGTGCTTTTTTTGCATCGATCAGCTCCATCACTGGAAGACGTGCAAATTTTGACACGTTTTGAGGCTTATTTTATAGGCACACTGAATGTACGGTAGAGTGTTGTTAGCGATAGGGCTCATGTAGTTTGGCTATAGTCACGATAATTTCCTAGGAAATAGCAAAAGTCTTTGCATAGTATGCATGAAAATATGTCAAGATAACAGAAATAAGTAAAGAGAACATCCTGTAACTAATCAAATGACATGATCGTTCTGTAAAGGGCTACTTGGCACATAGTGCACGCGGAAATGGAAGAATGATTAGAAGATCAGACAGTTTTAATTTAATGTAACAATACAACCCAAGCATTTCACTACTCAAAACAGGTCTGAGCGCATAACTTTTGTTGTGTGTATCACTCTTGGTTATTTATCATAATTTTTTTTTACTTAGTCCGCACGCGGCATAATCGAGCGCGCGGAATCAAAAAATTGTATCCTGCGGAAACAAGATCAAGCATTATTGTAACAATCGAGTTGAGTGCTTAGTACTTTACAGTCTTGAAGTTACCTTATGTCACTAACAGGTAGTGCTTCTTCATGGAGTACGACTAGCTTGCGCTTTCTGTGTTTTCTCCATGCACCTTTAATATCGCAAGAAGAATCAGTGATTTCTAAAATGTTTTTCCCAATGCGGAGACAACCATCTAATATTATATCAATCGACACCTTATATGTGTGATGACAATGATATTTACAAGGTGTTACCAATATAAAGGAGAGGACACTTGGCCGGTGTCGGCATACGGTCGTCGCATGATTGACGATCAGGTGCTCACCCGCTGAGCTGAGTTTCAGGATCAATTCTTGTTTGCAGCAATAGATGCAAGATAAACAGGGCGAGAGAGAGAAACGTCCTCACAAGACGATCTTATAATTTAGATCAAAGAGAAAAAAAGGTCAAGGAGATTTCAGCTCCAATACACATGTATGATCAAACGGAACGTTTCTGCAAAGACATATCATGCCTTCAGCCGATCTTTGTGACGCACATATTGTTGCGAGCCCGAAGGGTGAAGCTACTAGTGACTGTGCGCAAGGTTGAATACCGAGCTTTTACATCGTACTTATCGCTGTCTGTCTGTAACTATCGCGGTTATGTGTACCTTCCCGTACTAGGTACGATCCAGTCTGTCCCCACCTCATGTGTATACAGGCATATCAGAAGTATCTCTTTGGCTAGGTCACTAGTGTTGTGCACGTTTGTGATTGGCTTCAAACTGATCAAAGGTGAATATGATCACATTTGCAAATGCTGGACGTTTATAAACAAGGCCGATCACGTTGCCTGAGTACACTATACTGGATTAATACAGTCAGTAGCAGCATCACACTCGTTCTTCAGTGACAGCTGTTGTACATCGTTTCGCAACTTGTTTTTAGTCATGACTGAATAGCTTACGTGAAGAGGCGAGATCCAGAGCTTGCTCCCCTATCTTAGCCCACGGTGGTCTTAACTCTCTTGCAATGAACTAAAAGTCGCGACAAGGAGGCGAATATTCGTCGAAGTCACTTTCGTTTAGTTTGGTCGGGTACATACTGTGCCGAATTATCTACAACGAAAAGATGTTTAGCCTGTTTACCTTGACGTAAGGTCACATGAGTGTGAGGAAATAGATCTGCTGAGCTCAAAACTCTGGGAGAGTGTTGCAGGCACCCGGCAAGGAAAAGCTCCGACTGAAACCGGAAGAGCGGGATGTGAAGACATCGTTGTCAAATGTAAGCTAAACTTTGCTAACGAATACTTACAATTTATTGTGCTCAAAACGAGAAAGATGCAAATACATGAATCAGCATTTGGAAGACATTCTACAACTAGATTCAAATCCGATGACGTAGCAGGACTTCTTTTACACAGCTTCCTTAATGACAACGATTGGGAAGTTGACGTTGTTTAGCAAGAAGAAAAAAAAACGGATTCAAAAAGAAAGGTCCTTAGTTTGCATGCACATGCTACATCTGAGCCCACACATCTCACAAATTTCAGCGAAGCTTTCACTTGAATTCTACTCGTTCATCCATTCACAATGATGCTATTGTTTCATGGAACACACGAAATAACCTTTGACTTCTGGTGCATCTTCATCGTCTTGCAAACGTTGACATCACTATTTTCAATACGGCGATGTATCTGGTTGCACTGTGAGACTGTGGATTCTGTCTTTTTACCGCTACATGCATTCAACACGCAGCCCTGCTTCTCCATTTGACGTTGAATGCAAGTGAAAACGAAGCCAACAAATCCGCTAGAAAATTAAGATGTCAATGCGCAACGAACGTCGACTATCTAGCGTTCTAAAAACAAATAGGATTTACCCACTAATCAATTGATCTCTTTTAACCAATCAAATTTGCCCCGTAGCACTGAGCTCTACATTCGACAATTGTCCCCACACAAACGGTACAAAGATGAAGGGGCTAGCCCTTCGCGTCAGGAGCCCGCTGCTGGTCCACAAGATTTCCATCTTGACCTCGTCCCTCTCTCCTTCACCACGTGTACGTTCTCTAAGTTGTGCGCTCCGTTCTTGCCTCACTTTATGCACCCTCCACACGTTTATAATGCCTCACCTTCTTGACGCACTTTAACATACCGTAACGCTCTATTTCGTAGCTCTATTCGTCCACGTCGTCCGATTCGAAACCGTCAGTTCTTGACGGCTCCGAGGGGTTGTTCCAATTTGCCAATCGCACAAAAGACCGGGCTTCTTCTCAAATGGACCGGTACCTTGTCCACAGCGTCTTTCCTCCATCCAATTGGATGATGCAAAACTACTTTCTCTTTACGAAGCTCCAGTTGCCTACAAACGTGGAAATTGATGCCGTCGAGTTCTTAAATGGTGCTCGCTTTGCCTGTGACTTGGCGATCAATACCATGTACTCGAACGAGTTTGTCAACTTTGCCAACGGAGTTGTCTCTGAGTCAGCTGCAGCGGAAAAGATGAAGTCTGGACTGTCGGACACTTGTTACGAAGCGTTTTTGTTTGCTATGAGACAGTCCAGGAAAGCTGGCAACAGCTTTTCACTCAAACAGCTGGATATCAATGGAGTTTATCTCTACGATGTGAATTGGGACAGGCTGTCGCTGGCGGAGATGAAGCAAGAGGAGGCACTAGAAACGCTGAACCGATCACAGAGGCTCGAGATGGACCATCAGGAGGAAAAGAGGGGGATAGAAGGGAAAACAGATGTGTCGCATGAGAGAACGCCGGTGGCGTTTAGTCAGACGGAAGGTGCTGCTCCGGAGGACCACACGATGATGGTTGAACGACTTCAGCTGGATGTGCTGTTGGAAACTGTCGAGCATCTGGAAGTTGCTACGGCTGACCATGCAGACCAGGTGCTGGAGAAGAAATCGTCAGCTGTCTGGCGTTTTGAGTCGCTTGTGACACAGCCGGACAATATTGACTGGCGCATTGTCACTGTGTTGTAGCTGACACTTGGTGGATTTGGACCGCAGTTTGTGGTTGTCCGTGATTTAATAAAGCTGGGCTTGTGTGGTGTTTCTTTTACAATTTCTCGAATAATGAAGGCTTCTTCTTTATTCTGAGTGTTCGACGTCTTGTAATCCGAGAACTGTATCTTGGCATACCCACGAATTGCTGATGTCAGTGGGAAATGTGAGCTATGCACGTAGAGGAAAAGGTCAGAATGCATGCACTCGAGAAGCAACCATCGATACCTGACACTTCGCCCTGCTCTAGTCTAGTTAGCACCACACACTCCTCTTCGTACGATGACAATCAACAGCCGCATGGAAACAATCTCCTTATAAATGCATCACTAAACTACATCGACCATTTCACTAAACGTTGCAATGGCGCACTTCTTTCCATCAATCAGTTTTTGTGCAAATGTATCCACACTACATTCACTCATCGAGCGCATTTCGTTTAGAGTGCAAGCGCTTCATCAGCTGGTCTCATTTCGATTGACATTAATGCCACAAGCTCGATAAAGCTGTCTTTCTTGCGTTCCAAGAGTCATAACGTTAGAAGGCGAGAAGATGCTCAGAGGACAACCTCTTTCGGAGGAATTATAACATTCACCACATTTAATTTTTTTTTAAATTTGGCCTTGTTTTGCCTATGCGTCACGCTGGATGACCAACAAAAGTGCAGCTTCGTAATGCCAAGGGCTAAAGAAAGCTTTGGTCCGTAGTAGCATCGAGGAAACCGACAGATACGATGGACTGTTCCTTCTTGAAGTAGCGTGAATTCGTTCGATGAGCCTTGCCTTGTGAGATCGTCGTCAGCCGGCAGGGGCACACACTATCGACATGAATTTTGTCTTAAAATCCTAAAGAGACCCAGTTGACGATGGCATGACCTTATGAGCCAACTTGTAGCTCCATCGAATTCATATCACCGATAGCCGCACCCACCTCCCTTGTCAATAACACTGTTTAACGTGTGAGCAAAGTGCTATCGCCGTATTTTGACACGCGTTTGCATTCACGTAATTAATAGCTCCGCATTAGATAAACTTCTTCGTAAACGTCTCAAACAATCTGGTGACTGCTTTTAACGTCTTAAGAGTGACATGATCTGTCGTTGGTGAAGATTTTATACCAAGCCTGGGCTAGCGTCGTAATAGTCAGGCGAATGTAATAAGTTGTGTGGTCGTTTGCAAGGTAAACGTTGCCGATGTCATCGTACATGCGAGGCGTTTTGGGCATATGATTTCACTCACTGCATAATACGCCTGCTACAAGACAACTTTGACCATTTTTTATCAGCATACTGTAGGCGAATCATTTATCGGGTTCTCGTTGGTGGGAGGTTCGAAAGGACTAGCAGGACATCGACCGATTTAACGCTAAATGTCAGTTCAATCCCCATTTATTCGTAAAAGTGCTCGTCTTAAGGCCGCTTTCAGTTGAGGCCGAAAGCACTCTACCTGGGTCGAGGACGTACACCCACGTCTGGCTGATGAGTTTTGCTGTTTAAAGTCCACAGGCCTAAAGTTTTCGCCCACTTTGTTTGGTGTTGTCGCTCGTGACCTCATTGCCCGACATGTACGACGCATACTATATTTCTCCGTCGTACACTGTACTCGTTATCGACAAAATTTCGACGCGCTGTGTTAAAAACATTAAAGCACATTCATCCCGGATATAATGAAAAGGCAACTATGGATGATTTCAGTTTCAGGGGTAGTTGCATCAATTACATTTACAGGAGTCAAACAACATAGTCCTGTGGACGCACACGGGCAAGCTGACGTGCAGCTTCAAAAGGAAGCACGCGCAAATTGAGTTAAATGTGGCCTATTATACGGGCTTCCTGCATCGCGACTGTCGTCCCAGGAAGTTTGATGAGATGTGCATCGACAACTTGAGCAAGACTCAACCTTATTGCAGCCGCAAAAATGGTTGCACTTTCATTCTTGACGGAGATGACGTCGTTAGATACGCAGATATCAAATCCGGGAGCGAGGTAATGAGGATAATTGCTTCCATTACAGATGGGTGCACGTCGTCTAAAGACCACACACACTTTAATGCAAGGATAATGGGGTGTAAAACGAAAGTATTGCTTTCAATGAGTTGTGGCGAGCTCGAAGACGGAACTGCGCATTTTCTCAGTCTCCGATACGGACCTCGTCCAGCGTGTGGATTGGTTTGTAATCTCCAAGATCAGGAACGAGTGGACAAGGTGGGAAGAGGAATATAAGATAATAATTAAAGAGAGGTCAGTGGGTAAGCAGCACCCTCCGCGAAGTGTATGCAATGACATGCTTAAAAAATCTGGTAAGCGATTTTCTCGAGCTGGCTAGAAATGCGGTTCACAAAGTCAAATAGATGCGTGATGCCAACGGACTCATCTGCGATCGGAAGATCATGATCAGATACGGCACGGATCTCGACATCACAGGTTGTTGGCACGTGATCAGCGGACAATCGACCTACAGCAGACGAAACTGCCAATACTTCGAGGATTAGCCTGATCTCCAGGTTAAAGCTCAAAACAATATGCATTCGTAAACACTGTAAAAGCACCTCTCGGAAATGTAAGTATTGATTGCAGCAAAAAAGCGTTTACATCGATTGAGCACCAGCTGAGTGCACACGCATCTATGTGACTTTGTGACCGCCTTTCTAGCAAGTTTGAGGAAAAGTCGCTTACCGGGATTCCTAAGCGTGTATTAAAAAACCCTTCGCGGAGAGTGCCACTTCCCCACTCACCTCTCTTAACCATTATCGTATATTCCTCTTCCCGCAACCTTGTCAGACGTAAGGTCCTGCACCAGATGAGCCCATCGTTTGCCCCCTGCACATTTTGACGATTTCACTTTGTTTGTAAAAGCCCTGGCAATACATAAGCTTGGCGTTCTGGAGGCGGCGTATGCGGCAATTATTTTCATTTTGTATTCACTGTGACTGATGGTGGCAAGATGTAAGCATCCGCAGAAGGTTTGGTCTGGAAGCGCTTTGACTCACATACTGAACTTTAAACTCACGCACGATAAATCACGTTGTATTCTAAGACCAAATTGATTGCCACTAATTGCCACTCGACACTGTACCAGAAATGTAGGCTGTAATCAGAATCCTAGCATGGGTTGTATTCATCATCGTTCCGTATACCATTCATTTAAATTCCTTTTAAGATTTTGTCACAACGACAAAAAAGGGCAAATGATGTCCAGCTTGCTTGCATCATGACCAGTGGGGTCGCAAAAACACATGAGCATGTGATAGCAGCTTCAGTAATCAATGTTTTGTTAAGCAACTTGTAGCCACAAAAATCATGTCTTATGCATAAGCCTAAGCAATGTTTGCCTACTCCAGCTCGGATTTGTATGTGAGAAGTAGCAAGCCAACGAAACAATATCAAAGCCATTGTACCTGCCAAAGGGGCATCAAAAACTGAAGCTACTACGAATACCTGAAAATGTGCTTGTTGTCCAGGTTAGCTCTCGCATAAACATACCACCTAGTTGTATGCTCAAAACGTACCCACTTCACCAACAACATCTACGCAAGCAATCCTATCTCACTGAATAGCATAATGCAGTGCACGATGATCAGAAAGTGTTACCCTTCAACATTTAAGAAAGGCGATGATCACGAACGCCTTACCAACGATCCCAACAAAGGTCAATCCAACGAATTCCACGAGCATTTTAAGTAAGTGGTAGCATGGTCGTAAATAACGATGAAGTTCCGCCAAGCCTCTGGAAACAGCAGTTCACAAGCTGACGTCAGTGTGTTCGGCCATCAAGCAGTCTCCCTACACATTTTCTCACGTCAGCGAATTAAAGAAGACATTGTCCGTTGCTGTTAGATTTTTTTCTTAGTGCTTGGGCACACAGATAAAATTCAAAGAGAATACAGTTGACGTTGGCACATTAAAACTACTTTTCCATAGCATGACTTGCGAGACGACATAAAACGCAAACGACAATGTAGCGGAGCTACCACAGCTCATAAGTTAGAGGAAGACTTTACAGAATAAGCCAGAGGCTTACGGCTAACAGCCAATTAGATCTAAGGAGCTAATATATCAGGTTAAAGAGTCGGCTGGTGCGACGGAACTCAGCGCGGACTCTATGAGCTATTAGCTCAGACTACTGTAGATCTAAGGAACTTTACGCACAATGTGCGAACGGGTATTATAGGATTCTAAGTACTCTCTGACCCACGACAGTTCTACGGAATTGTCAAGCGCAATGAGCGAAAGGGTGGAAGTCTGCGGACATCTGCGCAAAATGAAAACTTAATTTATGTCGATATCAAATCAAGAAAAATGCTACTTTAAGTACCCTGTATTCTACCGAACTTTAACTGATTCAAGAATCAGTATTCGAAATAAATGGATGGTTGGCACATCATCCAGTCATCAAATGATGACGGCACGAATAACTACCAAGGTGATTACCCCAGGGAATACATGCTAATTGGTAATCTCTACTGGCATAGAAAGGATATGCCACACTTGTCTCCCATGTTACCTACAGGGGTCTTAAACAAATTTAGCCAATAGCGTGTGTGACCCCATTGCAGATATGAACAAGAATCTGATTAAATCGCGGTAACATAGCATCGCGCGGACCCCGTAAATGCAGCTTTTAGCTCGTTTACCGAGATCGAAATAAACAGCTGTATAGGCAGCATTAATTAAATGGTCATAGGCCAAGCCGAAGAACCCTTACCAAACGTAGTATACAACTTGTGATCTTTCTAGTGTCTCTCGCAAGGTCAAACGTGGTGATACTACACAAAATCCCGCACTTTTAGAATCACTGTGTCACAGAATAATTATGCAAGCAAATCATTAATGCCTACAGTGCTCCCTCTGGATAAGATTATCCCGATAACTAATGCCCTCCGCTGTTCTATAGGACTGGTCGGTATATCGGGTCATTCTATGACTGTTCTATGATCACTAACTCATAACTTGTAACTGATGGCCATGAAGGGAGATATAA